CGGAAGCATGAGCCCCGGAACCCACGGCAATTGGCCGTGGGCGGGGGGCCTCGCTTGGGTAAGAACGGCATCGGCCCGTTGTTTCCGCCGCGGTTGACACGAGCGTATCCGCTTGCCGCACGGTCCATCGCTGCCATGTCCGCGACCGCCTGCTTGAAGGGTCGAGAAGTCAGCAGGCTCTTCTGCTGGTACAGCTTAAAGCGCTTCGCCGTGCGAAAGTCGGAGGCGTCCTCCACTTGAAGCACCTCGAAACGCCCCGCGATGAGGTTGAGAGCGTGTGAGATGAGTTCGAGTCCGCCCGCCGGATCACCGCGCTGCGCCTTGTATTCGGCGTGCAGCAGGTACGCCCGCAGGTCCTCCAGTAGCTCCGCTTGCTCTCGCACGGAGTCGTTGACGAAGGTTGCCGCCGAGAAGGTAAGATTAGAAGAAGGGAGGGGGGGAAGGTTTTCCGTGCCAATAAAATTAACATTGTTGACTGGAGCCTCACCGGCTTCATCTTCAGAGTCGTCGGTGTCGTTGTCGCCCCGCTGGAGCAGGGGGAGCGGCAGTCGCTGCGTCGTTGTCATGCCGGTTCGTCCGTGCTCCCCGTGTGCCTTTCTCCTTTTTTGCAGTTTCTTTTTTAGCCGACGCAGATGCGGCGGGTAGTGCAGTTTCCGCGGCTGTAACGCTGACGGGTTGCTGCTGTAGAAGGGACAGCAGCGCGTTGACCTGGTCCGGGGTCAACGCCTGCGTCAGCGCAGGGGCGGCGGTCGCGTCAGACGAGGAGACTGCAGTCCGCCTCCTCTGACGCTGACGCGACGGTCCAGCAGCGGGTGCTGGCGTGTGCTCGGCGTCAGTCGCGTGTGCCGCGCCAGTCCCCGTCGCCACTTGCGCCACAGGTGCCACTGGCGCCACAGGCGCCACTGGCGCCACTGGCGCCACTGGCGCCACAGGGACCGAAGGGTGCTGCTGGGTTTCGGCGTTTTTGTGGACCTTGAGCCCGCCCAGCAGCACGTCCACTGCAGTCGGGGCGGAAGGTCCGTCTTCTGCCCGACGCTTGTTACGGCGTTCGCCCGCAGAATCGCGGGCGTTACGGTCGGAGTCGGAAGCGGGGGTTGACGAGTTCCCGTTGTTAAGTGTCGGCGTAGGTGCCATCGTTGAGCGATTGAAGTTGAAAATGTCGCTGAGTAAAGTAGAGGGTGACTCGCCTCTAGGAAGCGATTTAATCCTAGCCAGCTTGGAGGGAAAAACTACTCGAGCGGAAAATGTTGAGTGAGCCGTTTGAAAATTGAGAAACGTGGGTGGAGGGAAATGAGCTCCAACCCACGGTTTTTGTAGTTGGAGAAGGGCGTTTAGCGCGCTTCGACGATGCCAATTGTGCAGTACAAGCAGCTTCGCTTTCACAATACACAATTTTAAAAAACACTACATGTGTGTTTAAAAATTATAATATTGTGAAAGCGAAGCTGCTTGTACTGCACAATTGGCATCGTCGAAGCGCGCTAAACGCCCTTCTCCAACTACAAAAACCGTGGGTTGGAGCTCATTTCCCTCCACCCACGTTTCTCAATTTTCAAACGGCTCACTCAACATTCCCACCACCCACCCCAGTGTAAACCGCCTTGCTAATGCCACTTGGATAGGGTACATAATAGCTAGTGTTATTAGTCCGCACTAGCTTATGTCGAACGATGATGCAAATGTTGTAATACGCCATTTGTAATGAGAACGATGCCAATTGATAAGAAAGAAAGCAAGCTTTCTCAATATGCCTTTCATGTTCGCAGGTGTTTGCTGGAACACACCAACGGACAAAACTCCCACGGAAGGAAGGATGCCAACTGGCGCAGAACCATCAGGAAGAGAAATCGCAACTAGGGAAGGAGGTTGGGTAGCTTGGGATGGGTGTAGTCTGAGGCGTAAGGGATGCGCTAGGAAGAGTACAATATGAACGCTAGTCAAATATATCGACCGGTAGGAAATTTCATCCATGCCATCATTTGGAATGTGGATTTTCGTTTCACAAAAACGATAAGTTATTGTATCGCAACGCTCTTTCAACCGAACACTCGCTTGTCTCCGTTGCCCTACGAGTATAATGGCCGATATCTTCACTCGTTGACTAGAGCTCGATGCATCCCTACAGTTCTTTATGTAGAGTACCGCAACGCAGATCTTGGTGTGTCAAATGGTATGAGGATCTGACCATCAACGGAGTTGATCTACGCAGGTTCGATAACGTTGATTAGACGACTGTGTAAGCACCTCCAAAATACTCTATGGCCATGCAGGGCCTAATAGTGTGCTTGCTAGCCAACGACGATGTGAATTACACGCAGATGGGAGCGAGTTTGGGCAATGTGCTTCCATGTTCACCGCATGGTGCATGCGTCCAAGCATATATATGGTATTATGAGAAGTTGGACTCCTATTTCCCTTGATCAACAGTGAAAGATGACTCTTCTCAGCAACCAAAATCGTATAAATATCTCCATTATAAGGCCACAATAAGTATCATACCAGCCCAGCCTCCCTTCCTTGGGGAACAACCCTCTGGCCATCAAGGACCTTCTGCTCCTTTCGCCTCGGGAAATGGCCCTCTGACCACTAACGGGACCTTGGGTGTCGAATATGAAACAATGAAATCTGCTACGGTATTATGCGATTGACATTTCAATGTGATGTGCGCTTCAAACAGTTTGATGCTCCCGACTAACTACAGAGCGAGTGTCTGAACTTGAACTGGATACCATAGTAGGGGAAGTTGTTTGGCGTGGTGGTTAGACGAGAACTTCATGAAGAGTCAATCCGTAACTCCCAACGGCGCATCCATGTTAATTCGATGCGCGGACTGCTGATGGGTACCCAACATTTCTTAATCATTGAGAATCATCTACCTCGCTTGCCAAGCATGTACCGGTATGATAGAACAAGGTGGATGTGCAGTGCACGATGGCGAAAGCCTTATCCCTTCCGCATTGCCCTCATGCAAAGAAAACAATGATTGAGGTTGAGGTTAGATGTGTGTAACCAGTGAGATTCAAAAACCTTGCTTAGTTACCCTTTACCAAACATTTGTAATCAGATCGCTCCAATCAAATTCTCCCCTAGTTTTAGGTGGGGCTTAGAATCAACAAATTTGGGTCAAAATGCTCACGGTGGGGCTAAAAAACTCCTCGTTTTTAACTTATGCACATTGCAATAACCAAGGATGATCCACATCAATGTATACCGTACAATCAGGTTCTGCGCATCCAACATTAGAGTCTACATGTCTTTCCTGAAGGCAATGGACTTCTGGCTAGCGCAGAACTTCGGGCCACTATTCCCTCATACGTAAAAACAGCTCTCGAGCCACACGGGGACCCTTGGTCCCCTCTCCCCCCTAGGGGGCGGCTCTCAGGCCACCCCCCAGACCCTCGGTCCCCTTTCCTCCCTGGGGAATGGGTCTCAGCCCACACGGGGACCTGCAGTCCCCTTCCCCCCCTAAGGGACTGCTCTCAGGCCACACGGGGACCTTTGGTCCCCTTCCCCCCCTAAGGGACTGCTCTCGGGCCACGCGGGGACCTTCGGTCCCCTCCCCCCCTGGGGGACGGCTCTCGGGCCACGCGGGGACCTTCGGTCCCCTCCCCCTTTGGGGGACGGCTCTGAGGCAACGCGGGGATCCTCGGTCCCCTCCCCCCCTGGGGGACGGCTCTCAGGCCACGCAAGGACCCTCGGTCCCCTCCCCCCCTGGGGGACGGCTCTCAGGCCACGCGGGGGCCCTCGGTCCCCTCCCCCCCCCCTCTGGGGAACGGCTCTTAGGCCACACGAGGACCCACGGTCCCATATTTTCATTGGGGGGTGTCCCTGGGTGCGCGTGCGGTTGATCTTGTCGCTGGTGCGATTTCTTCCCCGCGACTGGTGGAGTCCCACTTTTGTGGTGTTGAGCCCGGTTTTCTTGGGGTTGAGCCCAGTTTTCTGCCACCAAGGGATTGAAGCAGCGGGGGGATTAATAGACAATAGGAGGAGATGACATAACAGAAAAAATAAATGAAAAGGCTTTCAGCACTTAAACAAGCGACTCATAATTGGTGATTGGCTCCCAGTCAAGGAAGTCCTGTCACTGCCGCTCTAGTGGCGATTTCGTGGCACAGGTGTGCGTGTGTCGATTTCGCCACTGGCGCAAGTGCTGCGGGCGAGCGTGTGGCGATTTCGCCACTGGCGCAAGAGCTGCAGGCGAGCGTGTGGCGATTTTGTCCCTGGCGCGCGCCACTAGCGCCAGTGGCGATTCCGTCCCTGACGCGCGCCACTGGCGCCAGTGGCGATTTCGTCCCTGGCGCGCGCCACTGGCGCCAGTGGCGATTTCGTCCTTGGCGCGCGCCACTGGCGATTTCGTCCTTGGCGTGCCAGTTGCAATTTCCTCCGGCGCACTTCGCTTTCAGTTGAACGCACGCCAGGTATAGTCGCATGTGTGCGTCCGTTGCCTTTCACGGTTGATAAGTTTGTCTTGTCTACGAGTTAGTGAAAGAATCCAAGTGACAACGGAAAAACTAAGTGGTTGGACGAGAATGGAGAGGAACTGCAAAGTTCCAAAATGAAGACGTGGGTGGAGGCCAAATGGCCTCCAACCCTCTTATATATTCGGCGAATGGTAATTCGCAGTTGCCTTGCTGCGCTACAGTCAGCTGCGCTTTCACAATACGCATTTTTAGAAAGTGTTACACACTTTCGAAAAAAATTCATTTTTTGAAAGTGTGCAACACTATCTAAAAATGTATATTTCGAAAGCGAAGCTGCTTGTAATGCAGCAATGGCAACGGCGAAGTGCTCTTCGCTCCACCCACGTCTTCGTTTGAAATTTCAAATGTCTTATTTCCCACCCACCCACCCTAGCAAAAAATTGCATGTTGTAACTTGTAATGTAGGTATCATATATAAGTAGGAGGAGAATGCTGTAATGCCCATTTGAAACGAAGCTTGTTGCCATTGCAAACACAAGAAAGCAAGCTTTCTAAATAAAATAATTGCAGAACATAGTACTACATTCCATGCTCTAACGGCCAGCGATCATTCTCATCCCCTTTATTGTCATCCCCAAATTCAGTGTCATCATTAAATCCTCCAGCGTAAATCCTAAGACTTCTTCCCTCACCCTGTCTCACATCGTCCCCACCACCCATCCCCCCTCTCCCATCAACACTCCCACCAGCCTCATTCTTCCTCACACGCTTTAACTTCCTTCGCTTCTCCAGCTTCCCATCCTCACCTGCACCCACTACGCGAGAACCTTGTAAGGAGGACAAAGGAGCACCATTAACATCACCACCACCACCAGCACCACCACCATCAACATTCTCTTCCCACTCCCTTTCTCCCACACCCTTGCTTCGATCCCTTCTCTTCCTCTCTTTCCCTCGTGCTCCTGCCCTTTCCCCCACCCCACCATCATCATCGTTCCCTTCTTCTCCCCTATCCCCCTTCTGCAACACTCTTTCTCCCCCTCCTCGCCTCCCTCCCCCCTCGGCCTCTTCCCTTTCCTTAAACCTGCGTCGCCTCCTCCTCCCACCCTCAACCTCATCCTCATCCTCATCCTCATTACAACCAGACTCTCTAGCAGCCCGAACCCTGCCTCTTCCTTCCACCTCCTCCTCCTCTCCCTCGGCCTCCTCTCGATAACGGTACTTCCCCTTGCGTACCCTCCCGGCCGCACTCCCCTCCTCTCCACTCCCCCAATCCCCATCCCCTTCACCGTCATCCCCATACCCATCCCACCTCCCTGGGGAACCTTTTTCCCCTCCATATCTCCCACCCCTCCCACCCATTCCCCCTCTCCCCCACCCTCCTCCTCCTCTCCCTTCACCCTCCCTGGCAGCAGCAAAATTGAGCCTGCAGGCAACAGCAGATAGAGATGCGGATGGGACGGGGGTGGGGAAAAGAGTGTGGGAGGGATGAAGTGATCGTGGCTGGCTGAACGGGAACAGGAGAGAGGGAGAAAGAGGAAATGATTCAACAGAAAAGAACCCTCTCACTTGCGGCCATACCCTCTCACTTGCGGCCATACCCCTGCCCACTCGCCCCTCTCACTTGCGGCCATACCCCTGCCCACTCGCCCCTCTCACTTGCGGCCATACCCCTGCCCACTCGCCCCTCTCACTTGCGGCCATACCCCTGCCCACTCGCCCCTGTCACTTGCGGCCATACCCCTGCCCACTCGCCCCTCTCACTTGCGGCCATACCCCTGCCCACTCGTCCCTCTCACTTGCGGCCATACCCCTGCCCACTCGCCCCTCTCACTTGTGGCCATACCCCTGCCCACTCGCCCCTCTCACTTGCGGCCATACCCCTGCCCACTCGCCCCTCTCACTTGCGGCCATACCCCTGCCCACTCGCCCCTCTCACTTGCAGCCATACCCCTGCCCACTCGCCCCTCTCACTTGCGGCCATACCCCTGCCCACTCGCCCCTCTCACTTGCGGCCATACCCCTGCCCACTCGCCCCTCTCACTTGCGGCCATACCCCTGCCCACTCGCCCCTCTCACTTGCGGCCATACCCCTGCCCACTCGCCCCTCTCACTTGCGGCCATACCCCTGCCCACTCGCCCCTCTCACCCCTCCCCTCTCACTTGCGGCCACTCGCCCACTCGTCCCTGCCCACTCGCCCCTCTCACCCCTCCCCTCTCATCTCTTATGCCCACCCCTCACCTCTGAACCCTTCCCTTCACCCCTTCCCTTCACATCCCACCTTTCATCACCACCCCTCACCTCTCATCACCACCCCTCACCTCTCATCACCACTCCTCACCTCTCGCCAATTGGTCGCTTCCGCCTCATCCTCCCTGCTCCATCACCCTCCAAATGCTCCTCCTCTCCTTCAGGAGTGCCATACCGCCTATCCTCTTCTCCCCTCTCCTCTCCCCTCTCCCTGCCCCAATCCTCCTCTCCCCTTTCCCTACCCCCCTCCTCCCTCATCTTCTTGCCTCGCCCCCTGCTCCTCTCCTTGCTTCCCCTACTCCTCTCCCCACCTCGCTCCCTGCTCTGTCCTCCAGAATCCTGCTGCATTGAAGGGGTGCTTCGTTTCACACTGCCTGCTCGCTCTCTCCTCCCCTCCCCCCTCCCCTCTTCCCTACACTCACTAACCCACTCCTCATCCTCCCCATCATCCCTTCCCCCATCTCTCCCCCACTGCCTCCTCACACCCATTTCACCCCTTCCCCTCCACTCATCCCTCTCCTCCCTCTCCCCCCTCTCCCCTCGCTCCCCCCGCTCCCCCTTCTCCCATCTCTCCCCTCTTCCCCCCTTATCAGGAAAACCTATTCTTCCCCCAACGCCCCTGCCTCTTCCTCCCCTCCCCCCAAACCTTCCTCCGCCTCTCCCCCTGCCCCCACCTCCACGCCCAAAATGCCCTGGGCCACTGCAATCATTCACAGGGAGAAATAAGCGGGGGGGAGAAGGAAGGTAGGATTCGGTTGGTCGGAGCTGGAACGTAGGAGGCCTTGGAGACAACGGAGAAAGTAGGGGGAAAGTAGGGGACGGGGACGGAGCTGGAAAGTAGGAGGCCTTGGAGAGGGGACGGGGAAAGAAGAGCAGCAAACAACGGCAAGGAATGAGCACCACCAACAAAGAGTAAAAAAAAAGAAGCAGGGGCGTAGTAACAGCAGCGAAAGGCGCTGAATCACGCTCCAGAGAAATTGACTGCATACGAGTGCTATGGAGGGGGGTGGGGGCGAGGGGGCACAGGATGCATACTTCAAGACACACCCACTCACTTACCCATCAGGACCAAATTGCTGGTGCCCTCCCCCTCCGCCTCCTTCGAATCCTGGCCCCATGCCTTGATTCATGCCCATTCCTCCTCCCATTCCTCCTCCCATTCCAGGCCCCATGGGCCCCATGCCCATGCCAGGCCCTCCCATTTCTCCCCCCATCCCCCCGCCCATCCCTCCCCCCATGCCTCCCCCGCCCCCAAAGCCAGGCCCCATGGGGAAATCCCCTCCCATGTTGGGGTTGGGACCCACGCCTTCGTTCCACCCGAACTCTGCAAAAGAGAGTGAATGGGGCGGGTAGTAGAATGAAGGGATAAGCGGCGAGAGGGAGTGAAACGATCGCTGTGGTGTCGGAAAATAAGCAAGGGCCAGAGAATAAGCAAGGGCCAGAGAATAAGCAAGGGCCAGAGAATAAGCAAGGGCCAGAGAATAAGCAAGGGCCAGAGAATAAGCAAGGGCCAGAGAATAAGCAAGGGCCAGCAAATAAGAAAGGGCCAGCAAATAAGCAAGGGCCAGCAAATAAGCCTCACGGCTTGTAGAATGACTTTTGAGGCGCCTAAAAAAATAGTCTCACGGCTTGTAGAAAGTGCACAACAACCAAAACAAGAGGGGAGAGTGCGGTAAATCGCCTTGTAGTTAAAAAATCGCATTTGTGCTCATTATTGAGCTGAGGGGAATGGAGTGAGCGGGGAGGGGTGAAGGAAGGGGAGAAAGAGGCGGTAGGGAAGGGGGACAGGGAAGGAGAAATGGAGGAGGGAGTAGGAGGGGTGGACAAGGGAAGGTGTTCCCTTACCTGGGCCTGGAAACATCCCAGGTTGGTTCGGGAAAGGGCCGCCGAAGTTACCACCACCGCCCATGCCCATGCCCATGCCTCCACCTCCCATTCCCATGCCCATCCCTCCGCCTCCCATGTGCCCCATGCCTCCTCCCATGCCCATGCCCCCTCCCATGCCCATGCCTCCCCCCATGTTGCCCATTCCCCCACACATCCCACCGCCCATCCCTCCGCCCATTCCCCCGCCCATTCCCCCCATGTTGTTCTGAGGGCAGTCTCGCATCATATGATCCTTGGCTCCACAGGTGTAGCATGCACGGTCCTTCTTGCCCCCACCCATGCCGTGCTCGGGGTGATCTGCTTGCACGTTTGAAAACAGGGAAAACAGGGAAACAGGGAAACAGGTGAAACAGGGAAACAGGAGGGGCGAGAGGGGAGAGGGGAGAGACAAATGAGATAATGTGTTAAGAGGAGCGAGTGATAACAGAGGACGAATTATGGAAGACACAATATATACATATATATATACGTATATATACATATATATACATATACATACATCTATATACATATATATATACATATATATATACATATGTAAATATATATGACCAAAGGTGAGGAGGGGAGGGAAGGTGAGGAGGGGAGGGGCAGCACAGGATTACAGCATGAAAAGAGGGACCTACCTACCAACACACCACACCATACCAATCGTGTGATGCTCTTGACGCACCTCAAAAGCAAAGGGATACAGACAGAGAAAAAGGGGAAGACAAGTGGAAAGGAGGACGTACCACCATGCCAGCCGTGCTGCTGGCTGTGAAAGTGCTCTGGCCCTCCCATGTGCGGACCTCCCATATGTGGCCCTCCCATACCCATAGGTCCCATCGGTCCCCCCATGGGTCCCCCCATAGGTCCCCCCATGGGTCCCCCCATAGGTCCCCCCATAGGCCCCCCCATAGGCCCCCCCATAGGCCCCATGGGCCCTCCCATAGGCCCCCCCATTGGTCCCCCCATTGGTCCCCCCATGGGCCCCATCGGACCCCCCATCGGTCCCCCCATCGGTCCCCCCATGGCCCCCCCCATTGGCCCCATACGACCGCCCATAGGCCCTCCCCTCCCCCCACCACCAATCGGACCCCCCATACCACCCCCCATTGGCCCCATTCCCCCCCCCATCCCTCCCCCCATCGGTCCGCCCATAGGTCCCCCCATATTCCCGCCCATTCCCCCGCCCATGCCTCCGCCCATACCACCCCCCATGCCTCCGCCCATGCCTCCGCCCATACCCCCCATATCAGGACCCATCCCCATTCCCACGCCCATAGGCCCTCCTCCCATGTTTCCCCCCATGTTTCCCCCCATATTCCCCCCCATAGGACCTCCCATGTGCGGACCCATCTGCCCCATCTGGCCCCCACCCATCTGCCCCATCTGCCCCTCCCCCATCTGCCCATCCATATGCTGTTGCTGCTCCTGCTGCTCTTGCTGCTCCTGCTGTTTCTGTTGCTTCAGTTTCTTCTTCTTCTTCTTCCCCTTCACCTTCTTTCCCTTCCCCGTTCTGCCTTCCTTCACCTCCCCTTCCCCTCCCCCTTCTTCTCCCCCTTCCCCTCCCCCTTCTTCTCCCCCTTCCCCTTCCCCTTCCCCTTCCCCTCCACCCTCTTCCCCTTCTCCCCCTTCCCCCCCACCTTCCACTTCCCCCTCTACCGCATCTCCCTCCCCTCCCTCCCCTCCTGCGCCTCCAATCACTTCCCCATCGCCCTCAGCATAAGCACCCCCAGTACTGTCACCCTCTGGTGTGGCAACCGAACCTGGTGCTGCAGTATCATCAGCAGCAACAGTGTCAGCACCAGCAGCGCCATCACCATCACCACCAGCACCACCAGCACTATCACCAGCTGCGGCAGCAGCAGCAGCAGCAGTAGCACCACCGCCACCATCAGCAGCAGCAGCACCACCACCATCAGCAGGAGCACCATCAGCAGCAGCATGGGTGGTACTAGCTGGCCCGGTCACCCCATCACTCACCTCCTCCTCTTCCTCCTCCTCCCCATCCTGCTGCTTCTCCCCCTCCCCATCCTTTTCAACCTCCTCTCCTCCATCCCTTGATACATTCGCTCCCGCTCCCTTTTTAGCTTCCATCTCCTGTTCTTCCTTACGACCGGCCGCACTCACGTCACCACTAACAGGTGTCGGCCCAGCACCAGGCTTGCTCACACGCTCGTTCGCACCTGCACTGCCAGAAACAGCAGCAGGGGAAGTGGCAGCGGCAGAAGCAGCAGCAGCAGAAACGGCGGCAGGCCGAGCGGGGACGTGCTTGGGATTTCCACTTCCAGATGCTGCACTGTGTTCTTCACCAGAAGCAGCAGCAGCAACAGGAGCTGCAGCAGCAGCACGAGCAGGACTAGAGGCAGCAGGAGTAGAAGAAGAAACAGGAGAAGATCTGTTCGCCCCCATAAGCTGTTTGGTAGTCAATGGTTGCTGTTGCTGTTGCTGCTGGTGTTGCTGTTGCTGGTGCTGCTGTTGTTGCTGTTGCGGTTGCTGCCGCTGTTGCTGCTGCTGCTGTCTCTGTTGTTGCAGTTGCTGTTGTTGCTGCTGCTGCTGCTGCTGCTGTTGCTGTTGCTGTTGCTGCTGTTGGTACTGTTGCTGCTGCTGCTGCTGCTGCTGTTGTTGCTGCTGCTGTTGCTGCCACTGCTGTTGTTGTGGCTTCTGCTGCCACTGTTGTTGTTGTGGCTGCTGCTGCTGCTGCTGCTGCTGCTGCTGCTGCTGCTGCTGCTGCTGCTGCTGCTGCCATTGTTGTTGCTGCTGCTGTGGCTGCTGCATCTGCCCCTGCTGCATCTGCCCCTGCTGCATCTGCCCTTGCTGCATCTGCCCCTGCTGCATCTGCCCCTGCTGCATCTGCCCTTGCTGCATCTGTCCAGTCTGCCCCTGCGCCTGAACCCCGGGCTGCAGCTGTGCGGCCTTGAATCGATCAACAGCCTGGCGGAGAGTCATGTTGGGGAGAAGGTCGTCGTTGCGGTACTGGGTGGACGAGCACTTGGGGCAGCTTCCCTTGGCCAACAGCTGCTGCCGAATGCCTGGTGGAGAGGAGGAAAGGGAGCGGGGAACATTGGAGGAGAACGACGAAAATTGGGACCTTTCAAACCTTGAATCGATCAACAGCCTGGCGGAGCGTCATGTTGGGGAGAAGGTCATCGTTGCAGTTGAGGGTGGACGAGCACTTGGGGCAGCTCCCCTTGGCCAACAGCTGCTGCCGAATGCCTGGTGGGAGGAGGGGAGCGAGGGGGAATGGGAGTGAAAGGGGGGAAAAGCGGTGAAGATTAGAGCCTCGCTTACTCACGCACCACTCACACTGGTTGCAGAAGGGGAGGTGGCAGCAGGCGATGAGCACTGCGTTGCGAAAGAGTGAGGAGCAGAGCGGGCACTTGAGCTGTGGAAGGAGGTCAACCCACCGGGACTGCCTGCCTGCTGCATGGAAGCAGCTGCATGCTGCCATACTGCCATGATGCCATTGCCATGCATACACCCACCCTACCACCATGCCATGCCATGTGCGCGTCATCTCACCCTGCCACCCACCCACCCACCTGCCCACCCACCTGCCCACCCGCCTGCCCACCCACCTGCCTACCCACCCGCCTACCCACCAGCACTCACACCGGTCGCAGAAGGAGAGGTGGCAGCAGGGGATGAGCACGGCATTGCGAAAGAGCGAGGAGCAGAGGACACTTGAGCTCTGGTGGGACCTCTGCTGCCCAACAACCAGTCACTGCTACCCACCCCGCACTCACTGTTTGTTTTTTGAGAATTCTCAAAAAACATACGCTGCAACCGCTCACTGCTACCCACCCCGCACTCACTGTTGCCTGCCCACCCCATGCCACTACACCCACCCACCCACCCGCCACTCACACTGGTCGCAGAAGGAGAGGTGGTAGCAGAGGATGAGCACCACTCGCTCTGCCGCCATGCCACTTCTTCACCCATCCCTCGCCCTCCTGCCATTCCATGCCACCCACCCACCCGCCACTCACACTGGTCGCAGAAGGAGAGGTGGCAGCAGGGAATGAGCACTGCGTTGCGGAAGAGCGAGGAGCAGAGTGGGCACTTGAGCTCTGGTGGGACCTCTGCAGCTTGAGGCTGACGCATGGGGGTCAGAAAGGGCTCTGTCTCCCTTGCAAAGGCTTGCCTGGTGGGTGGAAGAGGCGCAAAACAGAAACAAAGGGTTGAGGAATGTGCAGTAATAGCAGGCACTTGAGCTCTGGAGGGACCTCTGCTGCTTGTGGTTGCCGCATTGGGGTGAGAGAGGGCTCTGTCTCCCTTGCGAATGCTTGACTGGTGGGTGGAAGAAGCAGGAGAGGTGGAAGACGCGGAGAGGAGGAAGAAGCACAGAGGTGGAAGAGAAGAGGGCTATGAGGGGTTGAGGAATGAGAAAGGGTTGGCATGTAATTGTACGAATGTGTAGTTGTATGCATTTGACAACCACAGAGGCGTGGGCAGAGGCGTGGGCAGTATAGAAGCCATGGACCCATCCGGCATGAGGTGGCCCCCTCCCTGGTCTGATTGCAATGACTCTGATCACTCACTCGCACACCAACTAGCCATCCAAACACACACACGCACCCACATGCAACGGACACTCACTCGCTGCCTTGCTGCATCTCCTGCGCGCCCATAGAAGCCATGGACCCATCCGACATGAGGTAGCCCCCTCCCTCCCTGATCCGATAGAAGGAAAGCCCGTGACCGGGACAGAGACGCTCACAGGCACAGGAGCAAGCACACTCACGTGACACGGCACACAGGCAATTGAGACTCACTCGTTGCCTTGCTGCATCTCCTGCGCGCCCATAGAAGCCATGGACCCATCCGACATGAGGTAGCCCCCTCCCTCCCTGATCCGATAGAAGGAAAGCCCGTGACCGGGACAGAGACGCTCACAGGCACAGGAGCAAGCACACTCACGTGACACGGCACACAGGCAATTGAGACTCACTCGTTGCCTTGCTGCATCTCCTGCGCGCCCATAGAAGCCATGGACCCATCCGACATGAGGTAGCCCCCTCCCTCCCTGATCCGATAGAAGGAAAGCCCGTGACCGGGACAGAGACGCTCACAGGCACAGGAGCAAGCACACTCACGTGACACGGCACACAGGCAATTGAGACTCACTCGTTGCCTTGCTGCATCTCCTGCGCGCCCATGGAAGCCATGGACCCATCCGGCATGAGGTAGCCCCCTCCCTGGTCCGGGCGCAAAAAGCTCTTGGGGATGCCCGAGGGGGGCCGCACCCGCCTCACCACATCGAATGCTGGATCGCCATTGGTGGGGCAATGCTTGATGTAGTGACCTGGCGAGAAAGCAGTGGAAGTGGGGAAAGGGACGGGGAACTAGTGACTTGGGTGTGGAGGGATGTCTGAGAGGGGTCGCACACAACTGCCTCACCAACTCAATGCTGGATGACAGCTCAATGCTGGATGACAACTCAATGCTGGATGACAACTCAATGCTGGATGACAACTCAATGCTGGATGACAACTCAATGCTGGATGACAACTCAATGCTGGATGACAACTCAATGCTGGATGACAACTCAATGCTGGATGACAACTCAATGCTGGATGACAACTCAATGCTGGATGAATCACTATTCTGCTAAGGCAAGGCTTTATCTGTGACATGGAACAGGATAGAAGAGGCGCCTCAAAAAGAGAGACGAACGAAAGAGAGGCGCCTGAGAACAACTCAAGCGTTAAGCGTTACAGCAGGATGCTCACGCGTGAAAACCTACCCGGTTTTTGAGGCTCCTCAAAAGAGAGATGAACGAAAGGGAGGCGCCTGAGAACAAGTCAAGCCTCAAGAGTTACAGCAGGATGCCCACGCGTGAAAACCTACCCGGTTTGTTGCAGCGGTAACAGATGTACCCAGGATGTGGAACCGCATTCCTTTGGGGAAAGGGAAAACGTCCTGAAAGTGCACATCATCACATGCACACAGTCACATGCACACAGTCACATGCACACAGTCACATGCACACAGTCACATGCACAGTCACATGCACAGTCACATGCACACAGTCACATGCACACAGTCACATGCACACAGTCACACGCACACAGTCACATGCACACAGTCACATGCACACAGTCACATGCACACAGTCACATGCACACAGTCACATGCACACAGTCCTACAGATTAGAAAGACAACGATACGAGTCCCAAGCTGAATGAAGGCTCAATATGGAGCCCTACGGTACGATAACCTTCAGATGTTTTATCAATTCAAATTTGCACGTGATGAAACATAAACGGTGCGGTTATATTTCTACTGGAAGGTCAAAATGTATTGGATCAATGAGTTGCACATAATGCATACACTGCAATCATTTCCCCTGCAGCCAACTCGCGTGGAACCAAACCAATGTGTTTTGCCCTAAAAAAATCGGGAAAAGTATATAGAAGAAAGATAGAAAGCGCAAACCCCATATTACATACCGCCACCGCCACCCCTGCCGTAGAATCCTCCTCGGCCATAGCCATGGCCGCCAAACTGATCTGGAGGCCTGCAGCGCCACAGAGGAGCAGGGAAGGTGGAAGGCCGGAATGAGTTGAGTTAACCATATGACTGACTCGCTAGCACGAAAACATACTACCACCCCCTCCCCTGCCGTAGAATCCTCCTCGGCCATAGCCACGGCCGCCAAACTGATCTGGAGGCCTGCAGCGCCACAGAGGAACAGAGGAGGAAGGAAAGAAATGATTTCTTTTTTAACACTGACACATAACATGTACCACGGCACCACCACCGCCTCCCATGCCATAGAACCCTCCTCGGCAATAACCACGCCCGCCAAACTGATCTGGAGGCCTGCAGCAGCACAGTGGAGCAGGAGACGGGAGGAAGGCGAGAACAAGTTGGTTGAACCACTGACTTCTTCGCACATACAGCCATCCCACAAAAGTCTTCATCATAGCCACGCGCACGCCCCCCCCCAAAAAATTGATCCGGAGGCCTGCAGCAGCAGCACAGAGGAACAGGGAAGGAGGAAGGCCAGAACACGCAGGCAAGCAGGCAGGCAAGCAGGCAGGCAAGCAGGCAGGCAAGCAGGCAGGCAGCAGGCAGGCAGCAGGCAGGCACGCGGCCCACCCCTGCCAGTGCGTGGTGGCTTGGTTGGTCCACAATGGCGGACATCATACGAGTCTCCTCATCCACCTGCTCCTGCACTCCATTCGCCCCATGCCCCCCATTCCCTCTAACCCCCCCATGCCTCTTATAAACCCCCACCCTCAGCTCACCTCTGCCAGTCCGTGGAGGCCTGATCCACAATGGCGGACATCATGCGCGTCTCCTCATCCACCTGCGCCTGCACACTCGCGCCCACACTCCCCATGGCTCCGCCTCCCCCTGCCATCTCCCCTCCTTGCCCCGCTCCCCCCATCCCCCCTGCTCCCCCCATCCCCCCTGCTCCCCCCGCTCCCCCTGCCCCCATTCCGCCCCCTCCCTGTCCTCCTGTGCCGCCCAGCGCCCCCCCTCCTGCTGACGCGCCCATGACGTTGGCGGCCGGCGCTGCTGACGTGGCAGTTGCGTGGCCGCTGATGACGTCACCGTAGATGTCTGCCAGGTCATCCATCATACCGTCCATGTCATTCTGATAAGATACAACGCAGAACACAATCAGAAAACCAGCTGAGGATACAGTTCAACTAATAACACCGATAACTCATAACAGGCCTATTGCACAGCAGCTAGGTCACAAAAAAAGTGGTAACATCTGAAATCACCTTGAGGCTGGAGTGCATCCCGAAACCACCATCTTGAAAGTTCGACCAGCAACTCACCAGCTGCTGGTTGTAGCCGTTATAAGCAGGGTAAGAGAGCGCCTGCTGCTGCTGCTGCTGTTGCGAATGGGCTTTGTATCGACTCAAAAGTCGACTCACTTGTAAAACAGCACTAATGGTACTAAAAAAAAAAAAACAATGTTGACGCTATAACCAGAAACTCACCAGCTGCTGGTTGTAGCCCTTGTAGGTCGGGTAAGAGGGCGCCTGCTGCTGCTGCTGCTGCGCCTGAGGCTGAGCCACAGCAGCAGAAGCACCAGCGCCAACACCAGCACCAGAGCCTGGCGCATGTCCACTAGGCCTGAAACTGAACGGCAAGACGGGGATTGCAAGGACGGAAAGCCGTGAATACAATAGCACTCTCTTTTTGTTTTGTTCTCTGAAGCGCCAGCAACAGGGTCTGGCGCAAGTCCACTAGGTCTGAAAATAAAGGGAATGTGAGTAAGCAAATATCAAGGGCATGTGATGTAAGCACATACTCGTCTGGCTGCTGCTGAGGCTGAGGCGCCACCCGGGCTCTTGATCTTGGGATTCTCGCATAAATTACGCTCGTGTGGAGCGCACTGGCTGTTGACTTTTGAGTCGAACCAAAAGGCAGCTAGAATCTATAACAAGGTTGTGAGCACATACTCATCTGGCTGTTGCTGAGGCTGTTGCACCACCCGGGCTCTTGATCTTGGAATTCTCTTGATGATGACGCTCGTGTTGCGCGGGACTGGCTGGTTGTCGTCGCCATACTCTGCAACCCCATGCAGCCAAGCACTAGCATGGATCCATGCGCTAAGAACTGAACTAGTACTAGCTGCGCCGCAAGGCATAAACAAAAAAACGAAAATTATGCTTGCTTAAACATTTGGGACTAAAAACAAACGAGGCTCTACAAGAAAGGTATGGCGACCAGCATGGTCACAAACGTCTAAGAATACTACGCTGACGGACCTTAAATACATAAAGCAGATGCGCACAGGAAGAAAATTATAAAAGCAGGAAGTGAAGCAGCAAGGAATCCAAAGAAACAAGCATGAGAGGAAATAAGGAAACACGGCGGGAAGAAAACAGCTGCAGTTGTGGCAAATGCCGATGCGACCATAATGGCAGTGTGAGCAAAAATCAACCCTGCAAAGGTCAAGTGTGCGTGATGGATCTGACGGCTCCAAGAGACGGTTGTTGGATCTACGGCTACAGACAGATTGTTTGACAATCTTAACCCTCTCTAACCCTGTCCGGCTACTTCCATCTATCTCCGTCCAGTTCGGTCTAACTCTGTCCAGCTCTGTCTAGCTCCATCCAGCTCCATCTAGCTCTGTCTAGCTCTGAATCAGTGTCGCTGCAATAGCCGCTGGGCCTGATATAAGCTGGCAACTCCGTGCTGACTGAGGTAGTCTGATTCATGTGGCGATCTGCCTGCGAAGGAGGTCTCATCAGGATGTAACCCTTAAGAGTCGTCCAACGTCCAAACCATCAGCCTTCCCCCTTCCATTTCTTTCAATAAAAATGAATAACATATGAACAATATGGATTGGCCGGCGGCCAAAACCAAAAAAGGGAATCAATTCATCCTAGCTAGTCTAAAACATGGCACAGAGGGATCAATCCCGAGTGCCGTTGCTATCTCCTACCTTCCTCTGTCTGCGCATCGAAAATCTGGACATCCGAGTCCATTCCAAGCCCCTTATGCTCAATAATTCGGTCCTTAAGATTCGCGACGGAAATAAAATGGCCATCCATGGCCAGCGAATCAAACTCCTTCGCGGATCGGAACTTGAAGTGAATTGACATGGTCGAAGCAGCTGCTGCAGGTCCCGAATTCCGATACTCCTTCCTCTCCTTCCTTCAGCAGAAATGTTAACTTCAAAGAAAAGAACGAGATATCCTAAAAGAACGGACGTTTAACTAAGATTATTAAACCATGTGCTGGTTGAGACACACCCGATTTTGACAAACCCAATCGCAGCACAAAACCGTGGAGTGAAGAGGAAGCAAGCCTCTGATGTTTCCGAGGCGAAGGATGATCAGATCAGATGTAGCCAGTGGATGATCAATGGTTTGTGAAGGATGATGATGAGAAGGATGGGAAAGATGGTGAAATATGGCGTTAGAAGTGACCTCGATGCGAAATCACGTCCCTGTCAGAAGACATACGCAATTACAATGAGCTTACATGATCTGTATGAACTTGAGATATAAACTTAGCATGCTATCTGAAGCTGACTACGCGCCATTTTATTTATGTTGATGATTAAATATAAAAACAAAATTTCATTTCACATAATATTCACTCAATTAGTGGCTTTCTATTCAGTCTCTGACTTTTTGCCAGTGGATTGCAGGATGGAGATCTTATTGAAACAATCTAGCACTCATGCATTCACCTAGCTGCTTTATTGGAGACATGTATATATTGCGTACGAACTGTGTGTTGTGAAGCTGAATTCTCAATTTTGAACCTTCGAGCTTGTCAGTCCTCGCCAGTTGAAGTTTTCCCGCCAAATTTTCAGAAAGACCTCGGCGTGTCTACTCCAGACCGGTTTTCTACGATGCAATATGTTACGGTATGGTTGGTCAAGATGAATGTGTAAGGATGAGGAAACGCACCCAAACTCAGCCCAGCCGTACGACAAAACCGAAGGTCCCAGACAGCTTCTAAAAAAACTTAGGACAGGGTGAACGATTCTAGCATACTCCAAGCCACAGAGCACAAGTTCTTGCTAGTTGCAAGTATTTCTCTATTTCCTGTTAATGCGCACGGCCTGGCGTGTAACAAGCCCCGAAAACGGTTGCTACCGGTCTCCGGATACTGTAAGCGTTTCTTAGTAAGGAGCTTCATTTGTGAGTACCTGAGTTGTGGGCAGGGCCGAGCGCGGTGCGATGTGCGTCTTCTAGCGAGCGTGTTTCAAATTGAGCAACGTGGACTGCTTGTCTGCAACCCCTACAGTCGAAGTGCTACTTCTGTCATAAGACGGATACTACTTGGCTTCTCTGCACAATCGCGAATCGCTGCATCGAACTCGCAACCTCGCTTCGCGTGTTCGGCTGCGGTTGTGCAGCCCGTTAAGGGAGTCTCTTTGCTAAGTGCGGGTCCGGAGATGGTGCAGAAAAGGCAGCGGGCAGAGGGAGAGCCGAGCAAGCGCAAGTCGCCTCGCTTCGCGGCTGCGGAGAACCCTGTGAAAGAGGATAGAGAAGATCCGGCGGCCTCGGCTGAGAAGCACAAGGATTCTACGGCTGGCGATGAGGCGAACCCGAAAGATCTTTACGCGGTAAGGTTTTTAACCGAGGAATTTCCTTCAATTCGTTTTCACCTCATCTCTTCGCTTCCACTTAGTACGTTTGACATCGAATCGCAGGTGCTCGGAGTGAATCGCGACGCGACGCACGCGGAGATTCGCAAGGCGTACCACCGCATGGCGCTTCGGCTGCATCCCGACAAGAACCCTGGCGATGCGGTGAGGGAAGGGAGGAGGTGATGCAGAGTATTTTTTAGAATTCTCAAAAATACTCGGTGATGCGGTGAGGGAAGGGAGGAGGTGATGGGGGAGAGGGGAGAAGAGGTACGATGGAACCCCACTTAGGGGGTGTGTCTTTGCGTGGCAGCGGCATTGTTTTTGAGTCGACTCAAAAGTCAGCGATGCGGTGAGGGAAGGGAGGAGGTGATGGGGTAGAGGGGAGAAGAGGTACGGAGGGGCGAGTACCTCCCGGAAGTCTGATGCGCTTCGGCTGCTCCCGACAAAAACCTGGGCGATACGGTAGGGAAGGGAGGAGGTGGTGGGGAAGAGGAGAGAAGAAGTAGGGATGAGCGTGCTGATTCTCGGCGAGTATCTCCTCCCAATTCCCCAAGCATCAAACCTTTCTAACCATTTGATTTCCTGACCATTCAAGCTTTCAACAATCCAACCTCTCAACCATCCAACTAACCTCCAAACCCCCCTGTGTCCCCCAGACGGCCAAGGAACGCTTTCAGGCGCTGCAGCGGGTGTTTGCGGTTTTGGGGGACGCTGAGAGGCGAAAGATATACGACGAGACTGGTTGCACTGGCGATGAGGACGGCGAGGACGGCACTGTGAGTGTGATTGTCAGCAATGAGATTTCATGGGAATGTGAGTGGTTAAAGCAAGGGGATATGTGGGGTATGTTGATGTTGATGCATGATGAGACAGGTGTGTGTGTGTGTGTGTGTGTGTGTGTGTGTGTGCGTGCGTGCACGTGCGCACGTGTGTGTGTGTGTGTGTGTGTGTGTGTGTGTGTGTGTGTTGATGTGTAGGCATTCCGTTTGCTGCTGGATTTTATTTCCCGTGCATTGTCTACTTGCATCATCCTTCTGACTGATGCGGATTGTTCTTCGGTCTTCTAAAGAATCTCTGCCCTGCATACATGATGTGCTTTATGCTCGCAGGGACTCTCGGGCAACACGGTTGCAGACCTTTTCAAGTTCTTCCGGACGATGTATAGAGAGGTGAGAGGGAGGTGAGAGGGAAAGGAGAGGAATGTGATGTGCTCTGTGTTCGCAGGGCCTCTCGGGCAACATGGTTGCAGACCTTTACAAGTTCTTCCGAACGATGTATAGCGAGGTGAGAGGGAATCAGCCAAGCAATGAGATAGCGGGGGTTGATGGGGAGGTTCCCGGAAATTTGTGGTTGGTGTTGTTGTGGCATTCGAGCGGTAGTAGCAGAGCAGGAGAGGCCGAGGAGCTGAAGGTCTTTTGGGACCCGTGCATTGTGCAATCCCCTTCTTCCTCTTTTCCTCAACTCATAATAGCAGACATGCGGCGTTCGAGCGGCAGTACAGGGGGTCGGAGCAGAGCAGGAGAGAGGCCGAGGAAGTTCAAGGTCTCCCTTGTGACTTGCGGAAAACCCCTTCTCTTCTCCCCTTCCCCTCCCTCCAATCATACCTCCCACCTTCAGATCACAGTGGCTGACATTGTGGCATTTGAGAAACAGTACAGGGGGTCGGAGCAGGAGGCCAAGGAGCTGAAGGAGTTGTATGAACGATTCAAAGGGCGGATGGACATGTGAGTTGGGGGGGAGAATGAATGGGCGAGATGTGTGTGTAAGGTAGGGGAGTGAGTGTGGGAGGGGGTCGGAGCAGCAGGGCAAGGAGCTGAAGGAGCTGTATGAACGATTCAAAGGGCGGATGGACATGTGAGTGGGGGGGAGCGATGTGAGTGGGGGGGAGCGATCTGAGTGGGGGGGAGGGATGTGAGTGGGGGGGAGGGATGTGAGTGGGGGGGAGGGATGTGAGTGGGGGGGAGGGATGTGAGTGAGAGGGAAATCAAAATAGTTGCCGGTATTCCAAGTGTGCACAGCCAGAGAATGGCTCTCATTGATGCAAGGATATACTTGACGCTGCTATCACGTGTCCCCTTCACGATCTGTCCTCTCCCTCCCTCCCTCCTTTGCTCTCTCTCTCTCACCACTGCCTCTTGAGTCGACTCAAAAGTCACCGCAAGGATATACTTGACGCTGCTATCACGTGTCCCCTTCACGGTCTGTCCTCTCCCTCCCTCCCTCCTTTGCTCTCTCTCTCTCACCACTGCCTCTTGAGTCGACTCAAAAGTCACCGCAAGGATATACTTGACGCTGCTATCACGTGTCCCCTTCACGGTCTGTCCTCTCCCTCCCTCCCTCCTTTGCTCTCTCTCTCTCACCACTGCCTCTTGAGTCGACTCAAAAGTCACCGCAAGGATATACTTGACGCTGCTATCACGTGTCCCCTTCACGGTCTGTCCTCTCCCTCCCTCCCTCCTTTGCTCTCTCTCTCTCACCACTGCCTCTTGAGTCGACTCAAAAGTCACCGCAAGGATATACTTGACGCTGCTATCACGTGTCCCCTTCACGATCTGTCCTCTCGCTCCCTCCCTCCCTCCTTTGCTCTCTCTCTCTCACCACTCGCAGGGTGCAGGAATGCCAAATCTGCCTCTTTACCTTCTCTTCCTCCTCACCTTCTCTTCCTCCTCACTCCTCTCGCCCTTCACCGCCCACAGGGTGCTGGAATGTCAGGTCTGTGCACGGCCGGAGATCGATTCTCATCGCTTCAAGGATATACTCGATGCTGCTATCGAATCAGGCGAGGTGAAGGTTACTAAGGCGTACAAGAAATGGGCTGCGGAAGCTGCCAAGAAACCTGCTCCTGCCGACCCTCTTGCTGCGGAGTAAGGATGCTTCAGAGATTGCCTCCTCCCTCCTCTTCCTTTTGTTGATGCATGCACTCACACATGCACTCACACATGCACTCACACATGCACTCACACATGCACTCACACATGCACTCACACATGCACTCACACATGCACTCACACATGCACTCACACATGCACTCACACATGCACTCACACATGCACTCACACATGCACTCACACATGCACTCACACATGCACTCACACATGCACTCACACATGCACTCACACATGCACTCACACATGCACTCACACATGCACTCACACATGCACTCACACATGCACTCACACATGCACTCACACATGCACTCACACATGCACTCACACATGCACTCACACATGCACTCACACATGCACTCACACATGCACTCACACATGCACTCACACATGCACTCACACATGCACTCACACATGCACTCACACATGCACTCACACATGCACTCACACATGCACTCACACATGCACTCACACATGCACTCACACTGACATGAACACACGCATGCACTGCACACACACACAGGCACTAACCCTTCTCCCTTCTCCCTATTCTTGTATCCATACCTTGATCCCAATCCGACTAGCAGCAAAGATGGGAGCAACCAGGAGCTGTTTCCATCCTGCACGCTCACCTCCCTCCCCCCCTCTTTTGTCTGTACCTTACCCCAATCCGACTAGCAGCAAAGATGATAGCAACCAGGAGCTGACGGCCCTCATTCTCAACCGCCGATCAGCAAGGGCTCAAGCTGCTGATAACTTGTTTGAGTCTCTGTAGCCATGCTCGTCCCTTCCCCCTGTCATTTCCCTTCCCTTCCCCCTGTCATCTCCCTTCCCTTTTCCCGGCCAAAACAGCAGCAAATACGAGAGCAACCAGGAGCTGACGGCTCTCATTCTCAATCTGCAAGAGAATGTCTGTCCCTTGTTGCTGAGACACACTGTTCTGTCCCTTGTTGCTGAGACACCCTCTTCTGTCCCTTGTTGCTGAGACACCCTGTTCTGTCCCTTGTTGCTGAGACACCCTGTTCTGTCCCTTGTTGCTGAGACACCCTGTTCTGTCCCTTGTTGCTGAGACACCCTGTTCTGTCCCTTGTTGCTGAGACACCCTGTTCTGTCCCTTGTTGCTGAGACACCCTGTTCTGTCCCTTGTTGCTGAGACACCCTGTTCTGTCCCTTGTTGCTGAGACACCCTGTTCTGTCCCTTGTTGCTGAGACACCCTGTTCTGTCCCTTGTTGCTGAGACAACCTGTTCTGTCCCTTGTTGCTGAGACACCCTGTTCTGTCCCTTGTTGCTGAGACAGCCTGTTCTGTCCCTTGTTGCTGAGACACCCTCTTCTGTCCCTTGTCTGTCCCCTACCCCCACCCCAACAGCAGCGAATACGAGAGCAATCAGGGCCTGATGGCCGTCATTCTCAACCGGCAATCAGCAAGGGCTCAAGCTGCTGATAACCTGTTTGAGTCTCTGGCAGCAAAGTATGGAGGGAAGGGAGGGAAGCGAGGAGGGAAGGGAGGAGCGGGTAAGAGGGGAGGTGGGAAAGCAGGGGGAAAGGGTGGGGGGAAGCTGAGGGGAGGGGAGGAGGAAGAGGAGGAAGGGGAAGGTGAAGAGGAGGGAGAGAGAGGGGAGGTGGTGGTGGTTGGGAGAGGAAAGGGCAAGGGGAAGGGGAAAGGGAAAGGGAAGGGGCTGAATGGAAAAGAGGAGTGGAAAGAACCTACTGAGGAAGAGTTTCAAGCAGCGCGTGCACGCATCCTGAAAAAATGAGTTTTCTTGTTTCCCTTGTTACAATTGAAGGAGTGTGTCATGTTCTTCGGACTGAGGAAGAGAGAGAAGTGGAGCTTTATTGTGTCAGTACTTCATTAAGCAAAACAACTCTGTACAGTTTGCACTTTACAAAGGTCCTCTTACATCTTTTTATGATGCAGGCATGCACAAGCATATGCAAAATCCATGGCTAGTTCCTGTAGACACATCTAAAACCACTCGTCTAACAGCATCACCGAATAGCCCTTTTACCAAGGGTAACTCCTGTTCTTGTCCCAGTATCGGGAGTGACGGGAGCGAAAGTTCATGTGGCTCGTCGATTATTTTTGGCTGCCCGGCTCCCAGTCCAAGTTGCCCGTCCGCATTCTTTCCCCAAACAAATAGTTGTCCTTCGTCTGGGTGATGGATGGGAGGGGTGGAGGGCAAGGGAGAATGGGAAATTGAAGGGCAGAAAAGAGTAGCTTGCATAAAAAACCTACGTGGATAGGATGGTGTGGGAGAGGGGAAGGACATGCATTCACATCTGCTGGCATAATGACTCAGCAATTGTGCTGTATTGCTGAATATATTTTTAAAAACCCCATACCTCTCTCACACAGTGAACAGTGCCCAATGCAGGCATCAGCCAGCTTGACAATGTTGCCAAAGGAACCTGGCTCTGTTGCAAGAACACCTGGCTCTGTTGCAAGAACACTGGCTCTGTTGTAAGAACACCTGGCTCTGTTGCAAAAACACCTGGCTCTGTTGCAAAAACACCTGGCTCTGTTGACCAACCCACCTGACACAGCAGCACTCCAAGCACTCCCTGCTGCCACCCTAGCAATCATCACTCCAGCCAATCCAGGAACGACACGTGGCACTGGCTGAGTCAGCAGCGAGTGCTGACCCAATTGGCCGCTGCCGCCCCTTCCCCACGACCACACGCGTCCCTCGTCTGGTTGTGGGACAGGAGAGAACAGGGGAGGGGAGGGGGGAGACGGGGGAGGAAGAAGAGGAAACAGGAGGCCATTCGCTCGTGCAGCAACTCACCATCCACTGCCAGCGTGTGGATGCCACCAGCAGCAGCCAGGCCTTTGACAGGGGCAGTGATGGTGCTGCTGGTGCGAGCGGGGAGGAGGAGACAAAAGGAGTGCAAGGCACACCTCGTACAGTCTCAAAAGGAGTGCAAGGCACACCTCGTACAGTCTCAAAAGGAGTGCAAGGCACACCTCGTACAGTCTCAAAAGGAGTGCAAGGCACACCTCGTACAGTCTCAAAAGGAGTGCAAGGCACACCTCGTACAGTCTCAAAAGGAGTGCAAGGCACACCTCGTACAGTCTCAAAAGGAGTGCAAGGCACACCTCGTACAGTCTCAAAAGGAGTGCAAGGCACACCTCGTACAGTCTCAAAAGGAGTGCAAGGCACACCTCGTACAGTCTCAAAAGGAGTGCAAGGCACACCTCGTACAGTCTCAAAAGGAGTGCAAGGCACACCTCGTACAGTCTCAAAAGGAGTGCAAGGCACACCTCGTACAGTCTCAAAAGGAGTGCAAGGCACACCTCGTACAGTCTCAAAAGGAGTGCAAGGCACACCTCGTACAGTCTCAAAAGGAGTGCAAGGCACACCTCGTACAGTCTCAAAAGGAGTGCAAGGCACACCTCGTACAGCCTCAAAAGGAGTGCAAGGCACACCTCGTACAGTCTCAAAAGGAGTGCAAGGCACACCTCGTACAGCCTCAAAAGGAGTGCAAGGCACACCTCGTACAGTCTCAAAAGGAGTGCAAGGCACACCTCGTACAGTCTCAAAAGGAGTGCAAGGCACACCTCGTACAGTCTCAAAAGGAGTGCAAGGCACACCTCGTACAGTCTCAAAAGGAGTGCAAGGCACACCTCGTACAGTCTCAAAAGGAGTGCAAGGCACACCTCGTACAGTCTCAAAAGGAGTGCAAGGCACACCTCGTACAGTCTCAAAAGGAGTGCAAGGCACACCTCGTACAGTCTCAAAAGGAGTGCAAGGCACACCTCGTACAGTCTCAAAAGGAGTGCAAGGCACACCTCGTACAGTCTCAAAAGGAGTGCAAGGCACACCTCGTACAGCCTCAAAAGGAGTGCAAGGCACACCTCGTACAGTCTCAAAAGGAGTGCAAGGCACACCTCGTACAGTCTCAAAAGGAGTGCAAGGCACACCTCGTAAAGTCTCAAAAGGAGTGCAAGGCACACCTCGTACAGTCTCAAAAGGAGTGCAAGGCACACCTCGTACAGTCTCAAAAGGAGTGCAAGGCACACCTCGTACAGTCTCAAAAGGAGTGCAAGGCACACCTCGTACAGTCTCAAAAGGAGTGCAAGGCACACCTCGTACAGCCTCAAAAGGAGTGCAAGGCACACCTCGTACAGCCTCAAAAGGAGTGCAAGGCACACCTCGTACAGCCTCAAAAGGAGTGCAAGGCACACCTCGTACAGTCTCAAAAGGAGTGCAAGGCACACCTCGTACAGTCTCAAAAGGAGTGCAAGGCACACCTCGTACAGTCTCAAAAGGAGTGCAAGGCACACCTCGTACAGTCTCAAAAGGAGTGCAAGGCACACCTCGTACAGTCTCAAAAGGAGTGCAAGGCACACCTCGTACAGTCTCAAAAGGAGTGCAAGGCACACCTCGTACAGTCTCAAAAGGAGTGCAAGGCACACCTCGTACAGTCTCAAAAGGAGTGCAAGGCACACCTCGTACAGTCTCAAAAGGAGTGCAAGGCACACCTCGTACAGTCTCAAAAGGAGTGCAAGGCACACCTCGTACAGTCTCAAAAGGAGTGCAAGGCACACCTCGTACAGCCTCAAAAGGAGTGCAAGGCACACCTCGTACAGTCTCAAAAGGAGTGCAAGGCACACCTCGTACAGTCTCAAAAGGAGTGCAAGGCACACCTCGTAAAGTCTCAAAAGGAGTGCAAGGCACACCTCGTACAGTCTCAAAAGGAGTGCAAGGCACACCTCGTACAGTCTCAAAAGGAGTGCAAGGCACACCTCGTACAGTCTCAAAAGGAGTGCAAGGCACACCTCGTACAGTCTCAAAAGGAGTGCAAGGCACACCTCGTACAGCCTCAAAAGGAGTGCAAGGCACACCTCGTACAGCCTCAAAAGGAGTGCAAGGCACACCTCGTACAGCCTCAAAAGGAGTGCAAGGCACACCTCGTACAGTCTCAAAAGGAGTGCAAGGCACACCTCGTACAGTCTCAAAAGGAGTGCAAGGCACACCTCGTACAGTCTCAAAAGGAGTGCAAGGCACACCTCGTACAGTCTCAAAAGGAGTGCAAGGCACACCTCGTACAGTCTCAAAAGGAGTGCAAGGCACACCTCGTACAGTCTCAAAAGGAGTGCAAGGCACACCTCGTACAGTCTCAAAAGGAGTGCAAGGCACACCTCGTACAGTCTCAAAAGGAGTGCAAGGCACACCTCGTACAGTCTCAAAAGGAGTGCAAGGCACACCTCGTACAGCCTCAAAAGGAGTGCAAGGCACACCTCGTACAGTCTCAAAAGGAGTGCAAGGCACACCTCGTACAGTCTCAAAAGGAGTGCAAGGCACACCTCGTACAGTCTCAAAAGGAGTGCAAGGCACACCTCGTACAGTCTCAAAAGGAGTGCAAGGCACACCTCGTACAGTCTCAAAAGGAGTGCAAGGCACACCTCGTACAGTCTCAAAAGGAGTGCAAGGCACACCTCGTACAGTCTCAAAAGGAGTGCAAGGCACACCTCGTACAGTCTCAAAAGGAGTGCAAGGCACACCTCGTACAGTCTCAAAAGGAGTGCAAGGCACACCTCGTACAGTCTCAAAAGGAGTGCAAGGCACACCTCGTACAGTCTCAAAAGGAGTGCAAGGCACACCTCGTACAGCCTCAAAAGGAGTGCAAGGCACACCTCGTACAGTCTCAAAAGGAGTGCAAGGCACACCTCGTACAGTCTCAAAAGGAGTGCAAGGCACACCTCGTAAAGTCTCAAAAGGAGTGCAAGGCACACCTCGTACAGTCTCAAAAGGAGTGCAAGGCACACCTCGTACAGTCTCAAAAGGAGTGCAAGGCACACCTCGTACAGTCTCAAAAGGAGTGCAAGGCACACCTCGTACAGTCTCAAAAGGAGTGCAAGGCACACCTCGTACAGCCTCAAAAGGAGTGCAAGGCACACCTCGTACAGCCTCAAAAGGAGTGCAAGGCACACCTCGTACAGCCTCAAAAGGAGTGCAAGGCACACCTCGTACAGTCTCAAAAGGAGTGCAAGGCACACCTCGTACAGTCTCAAAAGGAGTGCAAGGCACACCTCGTACAGTCTCAAAAGGAGTGCAAGGCACACCTCGTACAGTCTCAAAAGGAGTGCAAGGCACACCTCGTACAGTCTCAAAAGGAGTGCAAGGCACACCTCGTACAGTCTCAAAAGGAGTGCAAGGCACACCTCGTACAGCCTCAAAAGGAGTGCAAGGCACACCTCGTACAGTCTCAAAAGGAGTGCAAGGCACACCTCGTACAGTCTCAAAAGGAGTGCAAGGCACACCTCGTACAGTCTCAAAAGGAGTGCAAGGCACACCTCGTACAGTCTCAAAAGGAGTGCAAGGCACACCTCGTACAGTCTCAAAAGGAGTGCAAGGCACACCTCGTACAGTCTCAAAAGGAGTGCAAGGCACACCTCGTACAGTCTCAAAAGGAGTGCAAGGCACACCTCGTACAGCCTCAAAAGGAGTGCAAGGCACACCTCGTACAGCCTCAAAAGGAGTGCAAGGCACACCTCGTACAGCCTCAAAAGGAGTGCAAGGCACACCTCGTACAGTCTCAAAAGGAGTGCAAGGCACACCTCGTACAGTCTCAAAAGGAGTGCAAGGCACACCTCGTACAGTCTCAAAAGGAGTGCAAGGCACACCTCGTACAGCCTCAAAAGGAGTGCAAGGCACACCTCGTACAGCCTCAAAAGGAGTGCAAGGCACACCTCGTACAGCCTCAAAAGGAGTGCAAGGCACACCTCGTACAGTCTCAAAAGGAGTGCAAGGCACACCTCGTACAGTCTCAAAAGGAGTGCAAGGCACACCTCGTACAGTCTCAAAAGGAGTGCAAGGCACACCTCGTACAGTCTCAAAAGGAGTGCAAGGCACACCTCGTACAGCCTCAAAAGGAGTGCAAGGCACACCTCGTACAGCCTCAAAAGGAGTGCAAGGCACACCTCGTACAGCCTCAAAAGGAGTGCAAGGCACACCTCGTACAGTCTCAAAAGGAGTGCAAGGCACACCTCGTACAGTCTCCAAAGGAGTGCAAGGCACACCTCGTACAGTCTCAAAAGGAGTGCAAGGCACACCTCGTACAGTCTCAAAAGGAGTGCAAGGCACACCTCGTACAGTCTCAAAAGGAGTGCAAGGCACACCTCGTACAGTCTCAAAAGGAGTGCAAGGCACACCTCGTACAGTCTCAAAAGGAGTGCAAGGCACACCTCGTACAGTCTCAAAAGGAGTGCAAGGCACACCTCGTACAGCCTCAAAAGGAGTGCAAGGCACACCTCGTACAGCCTCAAAAGGAGTGCAAGGCACACCTCGTACAGCCTCAAAAGGAGTGCAAGGCACACCTCGTACAGTCTCAAAAGGAGTGCAAGGCACACCTCGTACAGTCTCAAAAGGAGTGCAAGGCACACCTCGTACAGTCTCAAAAGGAGTGCAAGGCACACCTCGTACAGTCTCAAAAGGAGTGCAAGGCACACCTCGTACAGCCTCAAAAGGAGTGCAAGGCACACCTCGTACAGCCTCAAAAGGAGTGCAAGGCACACCTCGTACAGCCTCAAAAGGAGTGCAAGGCACACCTCGTACAGTCTCAAAAGGAGTGCAAGGCACACCTCGTACAGTCTCCAAAGGAGTGCAAGGCACACCTCGTACAGTCTCAAAAGGAGTGCAAGGCACACCTCGTACAGTCTCAAAAGGAGTGCAAGGCACACCTCGTACAGTCTCAAAAGGAGTGCAAGGCACACCTCGTACAGTCTCAAAAGGAGTGCAAGGCACACCTCGTACAGTCTCAAAAGGAGTGCAAGGCACACCTCGTACAGCCTCAAAAGGAGTGCAAGGCACACCTCGTACAGCCTCAAAAGGAGTGCAAGGCACACCTCGTACAGCCTCAAAAGGAGTGCAAGGCACACCTCGTACAGTCTCAAAAGGAGTGCAAGGCACACCTCGTACAGTCTCAAAAGGAGTGCAAGGCACACCTCGTACAGTCTCAAAAGGAGTGCAAGGCACACCTCGTACAGTCTCAAAAGGAGTGCAAGGCACACCTCGTACAGTCTCAAAAGGAGTGCAAGGCACACCTCGTACAGTCTCAAAAGGAGTGCAAGGCACACCTCGTACAGCCTCAAAAGGAGTGCAAGGCACACCTCGTACAGTCTCAAAAGGAGTGCAAGGCACACCTCGTACAGTCTCAAAAGGAGTGCAAGGCACACCTCGTACAGTCTCAAAAGGAGTGCAAGGCACACCTCGTACAGTCTCAAAAGGAGTGCAAGGCACACCTCGTACAGTCTCAAAAGGAGTGCAAGGCACACCTCGTACAGTCTCAAAAGGAGTGCAAGGCACACCTCGTACAGTCTCAAAAGGAGTGCAAGGCACACCTCGTACAGCCTCAAAAGGAGTGCAAGGCACACCTCGTACAGCCTCAAAAGGAGTGCAAGGCACACCTCGTACAGCCTCAAAAGGAGTGCAAGGCACACCTCGTACAGTCTCAAAAGGAGTGCAAGGCACACCTCGTACAGTCTCAAAAGGAGTGCAAGGCACACCTCGTACAGTCTCAAAAGGAGTGCAAGGCACACCTCGTACAGTCTCAAAAGGAGTGCAAGGCACACCTCGTACAGTCTCAAAAGGAGTGCAAGGCACACCTCGTACAGTCTCAAAAGGAGTGCAAGGCACACCTCGTACAGTCTCAAAAGGAGTGCAAGGCACACCTCGTACAGTCTCAAAAGGAGTGCAAGGCACACCTCGTACAGTCAGTCTCTCACATACTCATTTGCTGCTACACTCACCATCCACTGCCAGGGTGTGGAAACCACCAGAGGCTAGGTGTGTGACCGGAGCAGTGATGGTGGTGACGCGAGAAGGGACGAGTCCTGATGACGCTCGGCCCAGCTCGCCGTTGTGATTCCCTATTGGTGGGGAATGGTGGGAGGAGGGTGGTGGGAAAAAGAGGGGCAAGCAGCTGAGTGTGTGACAGGAGCAGTGATGGTGCTAATGCAAGTGGGAAGGAGGCGACTTTTGAGTCGACTTAAAAGTCACCTCGTTTTGAGTCGACTCAAAAGAGGGGCTAGCAGCTGAGTGTGTGACAGGAGCAGTGATGGTGCTAATGCGAGCAGAAAGGAGGCCGGATGATGCTTGCCCCAGTTCGCCATTGTGGTTGCCTGTTGGTGGGAATTGGGTGGGATGAGAGTGGTGGGAAAAAGAGGGGCTGGCAGCCAGGTGTGTGACTGGAGCGGTGATGGTGATGATGCTCGCCCCAGTTCTCCATTGTGATTCCCTCTTCGTGGGAGCACGCTTTTTTGAGAATTCTCAAAATGTTTTTTAGAGAATTCTCAATATGTTTTTTAGAGAATTCTCAAAAAACATATGATGGTGATGATGCTCGCCCCAGTTCTCCATTGTGATTCCCTGTTCGTGGTAGCACGCATGGTGGGGTAAGTTGGGGCAAGGTGGGGCGAGGTGGGGCGAGGTGGGGCGAGGTGGGGCGAGGTGGGGCGAGGTGGGGCATGATGATAGACGCTCCCTGTATATAGGGGGGAATCGTGGGACGAGGCGAAGGTGCTGTGGCGAAGGTGCTGTGGCGAAGGTGCTGTGGCGAAGGTGCTGTGGCGAAGGTGCTGTGGCGATGGTGCTGTGGCGATGGTGCTGTGGCGATGGTGCTGTGGCGATGGTGCTGTGGCGATGGTGCTGTGGCGATGGTGCTGTGGCGATGGTGCTGTGGCGATGGTGCTGTGGCGATGGTGCTGTGGCGATGGTGCTGTGGCGATGGTGCTGTGGCGATGGTGCTGTGGCGATGGTGCTGTGGCGATGGTGCTGCAGCGATGATGCCAGGACGAGGCTAGACTGGGTGGGTATGAAACAGAATGATGGGAGGAGGAGGAGGAGGAGGAGGAGGAGGAGGAGGAGGAGGAGGAGGAGGAGGAGGAGGAGGAGGAGGAGGAGGAGGTGGGAAACAGAGAGTAGAAACTACCGCTCCTCACTCACCTCACCATACAGTCCCACAACTCCCCCCTACCGCTCCTCACCTCCCCACCCCACGTCCACACGGCGCCCTTGCAGTCCACAGCAGCGGAGAAGAACCCTCCTCTCTCCCCCCTCTCATAACTACCCAGCCTCACCCCTCCCTACCGCCCCTCACCTCCCCCTACCAGCCAACCTCTCCTCTCACCTCCCCACGTCCACACGCCACCCTCGCAGTCCACAGCAGCAGAGAAGAACCCTCCGCATGCGACCAATGAGACTCCGCCACGTGGCAGGCCCTGGGACGCTGGAAACTCGACCGGGATTGGCCGAGGCACGCACCCTTCTTCTCCTATCGCGTCCACTATATGGGGGATACCCAGCCGCCCCTCCCCCTCATCCCTCCCCCACGCATAAATTCTCCCACCCGTGCTTAGACCCAGCGTATGGCTCCCCCCAGCCGCTGCCACTTTAATCTCCACCCTCTCCTCCAGCCAATCAGAGGGCTCCACGTGGCAGGGTACATCCCTCCTGGTAAACTCTCCATGCCCTAGCGCCCCGAACCCGCCATATCCCCACGTGAACAGTTCCCCTCGCTCAGAAACCGCCAAGGAATGCAGCCCGCCAGCCGCCGCGCTGCGCACTGCCGTCCCCTGCGGAAAATCAGGGTTTAAGGTTGGGGAGAAGAGGGAAATCTCGTTCCCCAGACCCAGCCTTCCGCCGTCCCCTCTCCCCCAAACCCAGAGCCTCCCGCTTAGCCACAGGAGAGAGTGACTGATCCCGCAAGACACGCCCCCTCGTAGCTGCTCCTTTAGGCTACAAAGCGACGCGATTCGGCTCGGGTCTGTGGCTGCTTGACCTGCGGTTGCTGCTGCTGTAGCGACGGCGGATGCTGCTGCTGGTGTTGCTGCGTCTGCTGCTCCGTACGCGTCAGTAGCTGCGGCTAGTTCGGAGATCTCGAGGGAGAGAGATTCGATTCGCCTCGGGGTCCACTCCGGATTCTCTTCGCCATGCCCCAGCTGCCCGGAATCTCCGCGGCCCCAACTCCACACCTCCAGCTGACACGTGGCATCCTTCAAGCTGCTGCTTCTGCTGCTGCTGCTGAAAACGCGGGAAGCTCCGGTTTTTTCAAGGGCTGCGGCGCCGGCATCGGCTGCGGGTTTCGCGGCGTCGAGTGCGGGGAGAGATGACAGGCAGCGGAGTTTCAGTAAGGATGGTAGCGGAGCTGCTGGTATCGAGGATGATTGAAAAGTGCGAAGGAGCCCTGCGTGGCAAGTACGCAAGGCAGCGACTAGTAGCTTTGGGTTGCTGTTGGCCATTTCATACCGCTAGATATCAAGGTCAAAAGGAAAAAAACATAAAACTAGGAGAATTTAGCGACGGGAGAATCCTGGGAATGTAAAGAAGAAGGCGCGGATGCGGCGAGGGATGCGGCGCGGGTTCCGGCGGAGTATGCGGGCTGGAAAAATGAAAGAGGCAGGGCGGACATGAGCAGGGGGCTCACATTTCAGTGATGCTGAGCACCACTCATTGAGAACGGTTTTATGCGGTTTCAAGCGATTGTATGGAGGAATGGGGAGCGTTGTTGGACTCCTTCGATCACTGAGCTGTGATTTGCGGGCGAAGCAGGAGTTGGGTTACTCGTTGGGGCTGAGCATGCCCGACGAGCCCCAACAAGTAACCCAGCTCCTGCTTCTTTCGCGAGCGTAAACTGACTTTCGTGATCACGGAAATGCATTCGCCGCAGGTGATCCATCAAGCAAGCCTCCAGTTTTCGTCAAACTTGCACTTCGAGAGAGTAACAACCGGCAGGTTGCCACTCTCGCCATTTCGCAGTTCGTCACATTCCCAAATCTCTCCAGCTGTAAGCATGCTCCAGCCTCCTATTTAGAGTCTAGACAGGCAAATGCATGCCTCGTAACAAAAGCTTTGGCTGCTGCATGCCCTGCTTTCTACTCGGCGCGTCTCTTGGGCTTGGGATCCCACCCAGGTCCAGGAGCCACCTTGCTTGCGTTCAACCACAACACACGGGTAGATCGCATCGTCTTGGCGCAATGGCGAGGATTTCCGTTTTGAATCCAGTTTCATCGCAAACGGAACGAGGTATTCGATCGAGCACAGCTCCCGTCCCGTCACGGATGCGTCGTGGTCGTCACAACTGCGCAACGCACTGATCTCGCTATTTTCCGCGATGTCGAAGCTCGCGAGCGCTAGTGTGCGAGTGAAGCAAGTGCTGACAGATCCCAAGGTGCAGGCGACGAAGATCAAGGCGCACAAGGTGAATGTGAGCGTGCTCAGAGAGATCGCTATGGGCCTGTCCCTCGGAATCGTCGGCGGTCTGGTGTGGAAGACGCACCACTGGAACCTGCGCCGACAGACGGAAGAGCTTTACGCAGATGAGCTGTGCAGAGTAAGAAATACCTGACGAATTTCAAGATGCTTAGCTTAGGGTGGTGGCTTTCCTTCCAGATCTCGAGAGTTTCCTTTTTCGTTTTCGGCGGAAATGGCTTGCATGCAGTATGCAGGTAAAAAACCCGTTGGAAACACTGGTGGTGAGGTCCAGATAGGCCATGGCCCTGGAAAGGGAGAAAGGGGTTTGGTTGTAGCATCTTTCCCTTGGTTCTATCTTTGCAGATCCGATGCTTGTTGTGGTTGGATGACACTCTTCACAGGTCCCACGCTCGTGGATCCCAACCAGCCTACATCATTAGTGTTTTCGAATGGATGCTAGTCAATTGTTCTGAGAAGCTTTTCCGCCTTATGTTCTGTGCCCTTCCCTTGACAGGCCTTGAGACAGGCGAGTTGAAGACTGTATTTGATAGTTGAGGATTGGTTTCTTCAACGGACAGCATTCCTTAGCTCCCTCATAAGGTGGTCATTTCTCTTGTGTATGTTTGTGTATAAATGCTGTAGTATCGTAGTCTAATTTTCCCAGATTGTGACTATGTTGTACAAGACATTTTAATTTCTACCGAAGCCATTGAGTGTTTACGTGTGGCGGCTGTTCCCGCCAAAATCAAGATCGATAGCGCGCGGAAATGCAATAATTTCATGTCATGACGTCAGCAGCACGCGTGAAATTGCCGAGCAGGCAGTCTTTTCAGTTCAGTGTTTGTCAGATGTTTTTTTGCGAAGGAGAAATTTCAGTAATTAGCTGTACTGTATTGTGGTTTACCCAGCGTTCCTAATCATATCACACGATCATCTAGGGTATTGGGCTGGCGCAATAGAAAGTTAGCGGGCAGGGGTATTGGGCTGGCGCAACAGAAAGTTAGCACTGGCGGCTCTGGCTGGGGCGCGGGGAACTTCATATGTGTGGTCGTCCCAGGTTCTTTGTGGCTGTGCGTAGCAGAGAGAAAGTTGCCAACAGTCCACGAACGAAAACTCTGACACACCAGCTTTCCCCCACCCCCTCACTATCTTCCCCTCCTCTGCGCACTAATCCCCATGGCCCCTGGGTGGGATGCACCCCGTCGAATCGGGAACATTCCCCCCAATCCCCCAACACCTCTGGCACGTGGCGAGACTGCGCATCATAGGAAGGTTTGTCCGCCAGCCTGGGCAAGCCTACGGGATTGCCGCCGCGGTTTGCTTGCTGCCCCTTCAGGTGCGTGCAGGTGATATTCCCGCGCAAATTTGTGTTACCTGACTATTGCAGATGCAATCTCAGCCGCACATTCGTATCCTGAAAAACATCGGACTCTCAGCTACAGTAAAAGAGGGCACAAATGTTCTGCTCTTTCCTTCGGGATTGTCATTTGTCCAGCTTGAATTTGCCGCAGACGTTAGGGCTATTGGGCAGCTCAAATTCCTCCGAACGGCTCCGCCCAGAGATTTCACGCACTTCCCCATCGCCCTTCCCCACGCTTTCCCCTGCGGAAACTGTTTCGCTCCGCCTCCAATCTGACCGCGTAGTCGCCTCCCCCTGCACCCTGCGGGGACTTACCCTGCGCATTTCCGACCACCTCCCCTGCTCAGCCTCCATCCCCACCCAAACCTGGCCCCCCAACCGCTCTGTCGCCGCAGTCAGCCGAGCCAAGCCCAAGGCAGGTTCGCTCTGTCGGTTGTCGCAACAATGCGTGCCCCGCCCCGTGTCACCAACTGATTTCATTTCAGGCTGCTGTTTTCTGCTGCCTGTGTTGGGTTGGCTTGGGAACTGATTCTAGAGGTTGGGAGGTTCTTGTTTTCATAGAGGTTCTTTGGTAGGTTGCTTGGTAGTGTCTCTTGGTTTGAGGGAGGGATCAGCGGAACGGCGAGGCAGCTTCTCGTCGTCACCGTCGATTTTCCGGCAGTTCGGCTCGTTAAATCGACGGCTCTATTTTTCCCCCCGATTTCGGCTTCGCGTTACCGGTTGCGTCGAGCGAAAACGGGAACCATGGCGGCGGTCGTGCTCGACACGTCCGACGCGATTTCCACCGCGCCGCCCGTCCAAGTGCAAGTGATCAGCCAATGGGAGACGGCGCTTCAGAGCATGGTGGAGGAGAAGGTCCGCTCGTGGTACAAGCTGGCCAATCAGGGCATTTTCACGCGCCGCCGCACAAAAGGCGGGAAAAAGCACCACCACCACGACGCGCCGCCCCTGAAGCAGCAGCAGCGAGCGGTTCACCGCGATGCGGGGGAGCATCACTCCGTTAAGCACGGGGAGCATCAGCATCACTCGGTTAAGCACCACAAGAAGCACCACCGAGGAGCGGAAAACGCGGCGGCTCCGGCGCATGCGGTGGACGTGCGCGTGGAGTGCGAGGAGGTCGCTGCGGAAACCACGCCGCTGCTTACGGCGAGCCGGACGCAGCAGCTGGAGCAGAAGCTCCTTAAGGGGGAGCGGGTCCGCGCTGTCTGGTATGTGTTTGCGCTCGGCGCGCAGTGCCTTTTGAGTCTGGTATGCGTGTGCTTGACTCAAAAGTCAGCTCTTTAAGGGGGAGCGGGTCCGCGCTGTCTGGTATGTGTTTGCGCTCGGCGTAGCTCCTTTCGAGTTGCACTGCGGGCGCCTCGTTGCAGTGCCTTTTGAGTCGACTCAAGAGTCAGCTCCTTAAGGGGGAACAGGTCCGCGCTGTCTGGTATGTGTGTGCGCTTCACGCTGCTCCTGTTGCCTCCCCTTTTTAACAAATGTCACGATGCCCCTTCCCCCATATTTCTTGTCGTCGCACGGGCATCGTCACGGTGGGCATCCTCGTGGCGCCGGCGTGTGCGTGCGCGCACGTCACGCTGCTCTTATTGTGGGCCAAACGCGGAGTCTCTAAGTATTTTCCGACTTTGCCGCTTCTATATCCCCTCCCCGTCTGTGCAGGGGCATCGTGACGGTGGGCATTCTCGTGGCGCCGGCGTGCGCGTGCGCGCTCTTCGCGCTGCTCTTCCCCGCCCTCCTGCCCTCCTGCCTCGCCATATGGGCCATCGTCGAGGTACGCGCTGCTGCTTGCGCGCTGCTTCTGGGTTTTTGCGCTCTTCGCGCTGCTCTTCCCCGCCCTGCTCCCTTCCTGCCTTGCCATATGGGCCATCGTCGAGGTGCGTGCTGCTCCTTGCGCCCTGCTCCTTGCGCCCTGCTTGCGCGGTGCTCCTTGCGCCCTGCTCCTTGCGCCCTGCTCCTCGCGCCCTGCTTGCGCGCTGCTCCTTGCGCGCTGCTCCTTGCGCGCTGCTCCTTCCGCGCTGCTTCTTGCGCCCTGCTTGCGCGCTGCTCCTTGCGTGCTGCGTGCTCACTCATTGCGTTCGGATCATTGTGGCCGTCCGCTACCAGCTGCTGCGCCACCCCAGTGACCATCACCGCCCCACCGCACTCTATCCTTCCTTATCCCATTCGCACCCATGTTTCTTCACTCTCCTGGCTCCCCTCGTTTGTACGCTCCCGCTCTCAGGTGATCTTCGTAGCGATTCGCTACCAGCACTTGCGCCACGCCAGAGTCCACCGCCCCGGCGCCTATCCCACTCAACCGCACTCTACCCCACTTTACCCCCTTGTTCTCAGGTTATCTTCGTGGCGATCCGCTATCGGCAGCTGCGCCGCGCCAGCGACCACCGCCCGGAGCTCCCGCTACCCTCGTCATCCTTGGAGATGGAGACACTCTTGTTCCCCCTCTCCTGCCCCCACCCTCCTCGCCCCTCGCTCCCTCAGGTTATCTTCGTGGCAATTCGCTACCAGCAGCTGCGCCACGCCAGCGACCACCGCCCCGGCGCCTATCCCATCCAACCGCACTCTACCCCACTTTACCCCCTTGTTCTCAGGTTATCTTCGTGGCGATTCGCTACCAGCAGCTGCGCCACGCCAGCGACCACCGCCCCGGCGCCTATCCCATCCAACCGCACTCTACCCCACTTTACCCCCTTGTTCTCAGGTTATCTTCGTGGCGATCCACTATCGGCAGCTGCGCCGCGCCAGCGACCACCGCCCGGAGCTCCCGCTACCCTTGTCATCCTTGGAGATGGAGACACGCTTGTTCCCCCACTCTCTTGCCCCCACCCTCCTCGTCCCTCGTTTCCTCAGGTGGTATTTGTCGCGATTCGCTACCAGGAGCTGCGCCGCGCCAGCGACCACCGCCCGGAGCTCCCGCTACCCTCTCTCGGGAGCGTCTCGGACCTGCTCGGCCGCATCTTGAAGCTCAAGTAAGCATATTTTTTTTTATTATTTCTAGTATAAATATGTACATAGACATCGGATCCAACTATAGCAACATCAACACGCTGCTGATGCGTGAGCACATCAAGCAGTTCATCCTCCTAACTTCCTCTTTATTGACACTATAGTAAATGTACAATATATACAAGGCAAATCCAGACACCTAGTGCATGGAAAGACATGCAGGCTAATCCTATTGTGAGGCCTACAAATAGGCCTCTGAGATGTCTCAGTGGTCCTCTCCAAAGTAGGCAAAGTCAGCTGCAGAAAGAGAAGTCACCTCGGGTGGTGCGTGGTTGACGCCCTCGGTAAAACGAATTTGTGCACGACGACAAACAGTGTGAGCCTGCTCACGTTGGTGGACCAGAGAAATCCGTTTGTAGAAGTTGGTCTCAAACAGCAGCGGAAGAGAATCTGTAGCACCACTCAAGTCGCGGAGTTGTGACGCCCCTTTGCGACTGCATTGACGAAGGAAGTTGTTGAACGAAGAGCCGAAGCAACCGAAGGTTTCGATGACAAGGGGAAACAGTTTGATGTCCGGACGGTCATGAAGTGCTGCAGCATAGTGGGTGGTCCTCTCACTTTCACGAGTGGCTGCTGCTGAACCAATCACCGTAGCTGCGTTGGAGTGTGGAAACCCCTTTTGTGGATGAGCAACAGAAACATCCAAGGCCCAGGTGGTACCAGAGCTAATGTCGCGGCACGTGATGTCTGTGCGGCGGCCAGGCAAGAGATGCTGGTCTTCCATCTGCGCAGAGAACCCAGGCTCCAAGACAATGCGATGAACTTCTCGTTTGGTTGCGTCGTGCACTTCAGTAGGCTCGTTGTTGCTAGGGCAGCGAAGGACATGAGAATGGATGGAAGGATCGGTGAACGGGGAGTTGCAGGTGCAGGTGAGCGAAGATGCAAGGTGAGGGAGAGGAAGGCCTAAGCGGATAGCTGCTGCAATGCGCCATTCAGTCTCTGAAAGCTGCGTGTGCGGGGAGGATGGAGTCACTGTGAGCCAGTCACCTGCATGCGGGCCCTGCAAAGAGGTTAGACGAGCAAGGCGAAGCAGGGACGATACTGTGGCTCGAACCTTCTCCAGCAAATCGGCTTCGAGGTGTTGGGAGAGATGAGTAAAGAGTTCAGGAGGATAGCTCGATTGAAGCACAGGTCATGATGGGAAGCGATCACGAATGCCTTGGGGAAGCATGGTAATGGTGGATGAAATTGAAGGGTCGAGGAGGTTAATGGAGTCTGTGGTGACGTAGGGGCGGAAAAGAGGAGCACCATCAGTGATGAAGTGGGTGGATAAGGTCGAAGTTGTCTGCGCCCAGCTACAGAGGTAATTGAGGGGGGCGATGGATGCAGAGCTGCGAATGCTGAAGCCACCTAAGCGGATAGGGAGCGAGGCTTGGAGGCGGGCCGATGTGGACTGTTCACAGGTGGGATTCCAGTACTCAGAGCCCAGGAGCTGAGAGAAGTGGCTGAAAATGGTGTTGTCCCATGAAGAGAGTAGCTCTTGGATTTTGGGAAAAGGTGCGACAGTTCGGAGGAGGAAAGAAGGGCGGGCAGTGATGCATAAGGAAAGGATCTGTGAGGCAATTTGTGGGTCTTGCAATTGATGCAATAAAGGGAGGGAGGTAGTGAAAGAATCGAGTTTGTCACGAACTGTAGAGATGATATAACCGTCGGAGCCAGTAGGAACGCCGGTGACAGTGAGACCGTTTGCACCGATGGAAACACCCGGGGGCGGAATGCAGTGTTCAGGCAAGTCCATAGAGGCCCATAAAGAGCACTTAGAGGGTTGGACTGTAAGGCCGAGAGAGAGGTGGGAGGTAAGGTCAGTGCATGCGGCAAAGACGTCTGAGGGAGGGCCGACCAAATAGGTATCGTCTGCGTATGAGGTAATGAAAATTGAGGGAGATTGCTGCTGGGTTGGTTGGATGGCTAGCTGCTGTGTTAGGGCATAAAGGAAAGGGCCACAAGGGTCGCATTGACGAACACCAGAAGCTGACTAAAATGTGTGGAGAAGGGGGCTGCTACGGTAGTGAAGAGGTGAAGGGGTGGAGTAGAATAGGCGGAAGAAGGGAATGAGACTGGAGAATGGGGAGCGCCTTAATGCCTCAAACATGGAAACCCGGTTGAACGAGTTGAACGCGTTTGCAACGTCCAGCTGAAGCACCACCCAGTCTGGATGAAGGGAGAAGGCGTAGCACACTGCGTGCGACATAATCTCGATCCCGGTCGGAACTGCTACGCCAAATTGAAGGTGAGGAAGGAATGTCTCTCGCATCTGCTGCTGAAAAAGGAGAGTGATGCAGCGTGAAAGGAGGCGTGGTAGCACTTCCCCAATAGCGATGGGACATACACCACCATGCGGTTTCTGCAGGGCCACGAGGTTCGAAGCGGTGTAGAAAGGCCTAACTGCAGGTGGAAGGTCACCTTGCAGCCAGTTCTGGAATACGTGGAGAGAAGGGAGATGCTGCTGGAGAGAAAGAAACGTGCCCCTGAGGTGCCCAATGAACCACCTAGAAGATCCAGCAGCTGTGCCACGGGGGGCGGACTGTAGAGCGGCATGGAGAATAGGGACGGTGAGCTGTGGTGCGGCTGCAGGAGCGAAGCGGTGTACCCAATCAGGAATCTCTGCTGCAGCAGGTGGGTGCTTGGAGCTGAGGGCAACAACGGTTTCTGATGATGGGGGAGCTAGCTCGCCAGCTTCCAGTGCTGCCAGTGACCGCGACCAATCCCCGCATTTTGCAAACCGCTTCGCACGGTTGAGACGAGCCTGCTGCGCTGTAGAACGTGCTGAAGCCATGTGCAGAGGTCTAGCGGCTAGAGTGGCTGCAGCTACGGCTTCGCTGACAAAAGAGAGTGCCAGTCACCAGTGATGAAGCGGCGCGCTAAGGCAGCACATGAAGAGGAAGGGGCTGTGTGGGAGCAGCGGCAGATGGTAGGTGAAGCAGGAGACGCGGAAATGCCAATAGAATGAGGTGTGCAGCGATGTCAGAAGGATGTTGTGCAAGGCGGCGCAGTGGAATGAGAAGTGCATCGAGAATGAGGAGTCGGATGCGGGAGGGGATTCGGCGGAGAATAGGGCCAGGTAAGACTGCTGGGCTGAAGAAGGAAGGCCAATCCCAGGAAGGAATGGCCTCCCAAGTGGCTTGAGGAATTGCAAGTCAATCTATGGCTGCAGGCGCCGAGGTTGGGGCTGATGAGCGGGGGGGAGGAGGCCGAGCAGCTTGCTGACGTGTGGCGGTGTTGCGAGAGCAGGCTAGATGGTGACGGGCCAGCGAATCTGAGTTGGCAAAGGTGCGTCGACATGTGAGGCAAGAATTAGGAGGTAGTGGGTTATCGGAGGTTGATAAGGGCGGGCAGGGTTGCGGGCATGGCTGCGTAGAGTGAGGAGTAGGTGAAGGAGGAGGGGGATCTCGAGAAGGTGAAGCAGCAGTTTCATAGTGTGATAGTGGGTGCGTGTTGTCGGCAAGGGCTGTGGGAACAGGAGCATCTGCTGTAGTCGTCGGTGGAGGTGTTGAGGTAGATGAAGGATGGGCACGGGACGTCGAGGGCTGAGGGTGAGAGGTTTGAGGCCGTGATGGAGACGGAGAGTTAGGAAGGGTGGCTTTAAAGACGTGCTGGAGAATCTCCTTTTGTTTCTCCGAGACAATTTTTTGGCGCTGTTGCTGGCTGAGGTTGCTGGGAGGGAGCAAAAGTTGATTGAGTCTTAGGAGTAGGGGGTGGTGCAAGGCTTGATGAGGAGGTCGAAAGAATCGCAAAAGCTGGGGTTTGTCGCGAACGGGCAGGCGGGCGAGGAGACGTGGGTTCAGAGTCTTGGGCACCACGGCCCCTTTTGCGGCCTGTCATTCTGTAAGGAATTGGACTGGTGGCAAGCATAATGATTTTGGAGGTAAAGGAAGCATAAGAAATGAGGTGGAAAGTGTAGTCTTTGTTTCAGGGAAGAAGTTGGTGTAGCGAGGAAGGTCACGAAAAGTGGCTGGGGAGAAGCACAAGCGCGAATGTGAGGTTGGCGAAGAGGCGGGAAGTTGGGTCGGTGGGGAGGCGGAAATGCACGTCGAGGGAAGGGGGGGTTCGCGAATCTGATGTTCGTGCAGCGAGTGGTAGAAACTAATGGTGGCACCGTGCTGTCCTATGTTGCTCAACACAAAGCTCAAACCACGCCGTTGCAAGGAATACTCCACTCTGCGCCGTGCACTAATAGCCTGCCGGATAAGCACTAGTTTCATAACAACGTGCGCCAACACCGTCACGGTAGATCCACGATTGTAGTTTCGATCAGCTCGTCGCATCAAGGTGTCGCGGATTACTAGCAAGTCGTGGCTCAAATGTACGAGTATAAGAGAAGGTGCAAGGTTGCTGATTCCGCCCTTTAGCGGAGAGTAGTGAGCTTAGTAGCTTTACTTGAGCGAGCAGCTTAGCGAACTACTAGGAGAAGCGTTCTAGCGCTTTTTATACGTGCTGCAGCGAGCTGGAGTGAGAGCGAAGCAAACTACTAGGAGAAGCGTTCTAGCGCATTTTATACGTGCTGCAGCGAGCTGGAGTGAGAGCGAAGCAAACTACTAGGAGAAGCGCTCTAGCGCTTTTTATACGTGCTGCAGCGAGCTGGAGTGAGAGCGAAGCAAACTACTAGGAGAAGCGTTCCAGCGCTTTTTATACGTGCTGCAGTGAGCTGGAGTGAGAGCGAAGCAAACTAATGCACATCCCCTCCTCTGCCTCTCGTCCCTTGCCTCCATTGACCTCACAGGGGAATCGTGGATGCGCGCTACTTCTTCGAGGGGTGGTTCCACAACACGCCTCTGGAGCGCCTGACCCGCTTCCCCACAACTTCTCTCTTTTTCTTTCTCCCTCCCCTCCTCTACTCAGGGGCATTGTCGATGCTCGTTATTTCTTCGAGGGCTGGTTCCACAACACGCCTCTCGAGCGCCTCACCCGCGAGCACATCAAGCAGTTCATCTCGTTCGGGTTCTTCTATCGCTCGTTCGAGCAGCTGTCGCCCGAATACCAGGAAGCAGTTGAAGGTGCGTTGGTTGGATGAGGCGAGGGGGGAAAGGGGAGAGGGCAGGAGGGCGGGCGGAAAGATATTTCTCTGTGAGTCGACCCAAAAATCGACATCAAGTAGTTCATCTCGTTCGGGTTCTTCTATCGCTCGTTCGAGCAACTCTCACCCGCATACCAGGAGGCCGGGGAAGGTGGGTGGGTGGGGAGAGGGGGGAGGAGAGGGGAGGAGGGAGTGGGGAGAGTGGATGCGGCTTCTTCACCTCGTTCGGGTTCTTCTATCGCTCGTTGGTGGATGGAGTAAAAAGGAGGGGGAAGGACTAAACAGGGTTTCTTCTATCGCTCGTTCGAGCAGCTGTCGCCCGAATACCAGGAGGCTGTGGAAGGTGGGTGGGTTGGGTTGGTGGGGAGATGGGGAAGAAAGGGGAGAGGTGTGAAAGGGGGTTCTTCTATTGCTCGTTCGAGCAGCTCTCACCCGAGTCCCCTCCCCCCGCATCTCCCCGCCTCTCAGCGCACATGCACTCCATCGCGCAGGTCTGGGACCTCCCAATGCTCCGCCGCTCTTCCGCCTCCGCCCTCTCCCCTTCCGCGGACGAGCAGCAGGCGGAGCCATCCGCGGAACCAGCAGGCGCAGAGGCAGCAGCAGGGGCAGCAGGAACAGGCGGAGCAGAAGCAGGTGGAGATGAGAACAAAGAAGCAGGAGAAGACCCGGAATCGGGGGCGGTATCCTGGGCGGCAGCAGCAGCGGCAGGAGCGGCAGTGACAGCAGCAACAACAGTCGCAGCAGCAGCGGCGGTGGGGGAAACAGCAGCGGTCGAGGTGCTGGGGGAAATGGCGGAGGCTGTGGTGGGCGGAGAGGGGGACTGCGGAGAGGGGGGAGAGGCTAAGAATGGGGGGATGTGGCGGAACGGCGAGGAGGGGATTGGGTTTATGGCGCACACACAGGAGCCGATCAGGGCGGTGGTGCATCCCTTGTTCGTCTATGCGTGGGGACACATGGTGGCTTGGCTGACTTGGATTGGCTTGGCCCTTTTGGGGTTCCGCAGGTGAGAGGAGTGTGAGTGTGTGGGAAGAGGGGATCGGGTTTATGGCACACACACACATGGTGGCTTGGCTGACCAGGCTCTGCCTCGCTCTGTTGGGGTTCCGCAGGTGAGTAGTGCTGGGGGAATAGAAGCAACACATCAGGCTGTAGGGGGTGAACACACAGGAACCGATCAGGGCGGTGGTGCATCCGCTGTGTGTGTACGCGTGGGGGCACATGGTGGCTTGGCTGACCAGGCTGTGCCTCGCTCTGCTGGGGTTCCGCAGGTGAGCAATGAGTCATACCGGGGGAAAGGACAGCACACACAGAGGCAGGGGAGATCCCAAAGGAGTGTTTTGAGACGTCTCAAAACACTCCTTTTTTCACGTGGCTTCCGCAGGTGAGCAATGAGTCATACCAGGGGAGCAATGAGGCACAACCCCGCCAAGTGCGGAGCATGGTCCAATGGGTCAACCGCGGACGTCTCCCTGCCCGATGGAGTTCCACTCAGCAGCGACGGGCTGAAAGTGCTAGGCAGTTACATCGGCACCCCAGGGGAGCATCGCATTTCTCTCTCTCTCTCTCTCTCTCTCTCTCTCTCTCTCTCTCTCTCTCTCTCTCTCTCTCTCTCTCTCTCTCTCTGTCTCTCTCTCTCTCTCTCTCTCTCTCTCTCTCTCTCTCTCTCTCTCTCTCTCTCTCTCTCTCTCTCTCTCTCTCTCTCTGTGTGTTCCCATGCCTCTCTACAGGTATGTCTCCCCATCCGGCCTCCACTACTATCACCGACCGGGGTGGAAGGAGCAGAAGGGAAACAAGACACTTGGGTGTGTGTGCACCTTACCAACGTACGGTCCCCGTGCATGTGCCTACGTGTTTCCTGTTGCTCTCTTCCCCCCCTACAGGCACGTCTCTTCCTCCAGCCTCCATGTGTGTTTGGCCCCTCCATGTGTGTTTGGCCCCTCCATGTGTGTTTGGCCCCTCCATGTGTGTTTGGCCCCTCCATGTGTGTTTGGCCCCTCCATGTGTGTTTGGCCCCTCCATGTGTGTTTGGCCCCTCCATGTGTGTTTGGCCCCTCCATGTGTGTTTGGCCCCTCCATGTGTGTTTGGCCCCTCCATGTGTGTTTGGCCCCTCCATGTGTGTTTGGCCCCTCCATGTGTGTTTGCCCCTCGACAGCAAAGGTTCCTGACCTTGTGGGTGTGCCTATGTGTTTCCTGTTTCTCTCTCTGTCCCCCTACAGGCACGTCTCTTCCTCCAGCCTCCATGTGTGTTTGGCCCCCTACAGCAAAGGTTCCTGACCTGGACAGCAAAGGTTCCTGACCTCGACAGCAAAGGTTCCTGACCTCGACAGCAAAGGTTCCTGACCTCGACAGCAAAGGTTCCTGACCTGGACAGCAAAGGTTCCTGACCTCGACAGCAAAGGTTCCTGACCTCGACAGCAAAGGTTCCTGACCTGGACAGCAAAGGTTCCTGACCTCGACAGCAAAGGTTCCTGACCTGGACAGCAAAGGTTCCTGACCTTGTGGGTGTGCCTATGTGTTTCCTGTTTCTCTCTCTGTCCCCCTACAGACACGTCTCTTCCTCAGGCCTGCATTACTTTCACCGACCGGGGTGGAAGGAGCAGAAGGGAAACAAGGCGCACAAGGCAGAGGCGGAGGCGGAGAGCGGTGCAGATGGGTACGACGCGGTGGTGTTCATCCACGGGCTGGGCATCGGCCTCACGCCCTACCTCGCCTTCATTCACATGCTGCTCGCCGCGTTTGGGAACAAGGTGAGTGTTTATAGCGCGTATGAAGCTTGTAATGGGGTATGGGTTGGCATGGGCTGAGCGGCTGGACACGGGCGGGGCATCGGCCTCACGCCCTACCTCGCCGTCATCCACATGCTGCTGTCCGCGTTTGGCTCTAAGGTGAGTGCTTATAGCGCGTATGATGCTTGTGGTAGGGTATGGGCACGGGCACGGGCGGGGCATCGGCCTCACGCCCTACCCTACCTCGCCTTCATCCACATGCTGCTAGCTGCCTTCGGCTCTAAGGTGAGTGGATGCACCTGCGTGTGGTGTGTTGCCTTTTGAGTCGACTCAAAAGCCCTGCCTTGCTTTCATCCACGGGCTAGGCATCGGTCTCACGCCCTACCCTACCTCGCCTTCATTCACATGCTGCTCGCCGCGTTCGGGAGCGCGTATGCATGAAGCTTGTAGTAGGACACTGGTTGGGCACGGGCTGGCACGGGCTGGCACGGGCTGGCACGGGCTGGCACAGGCTGGGCACGGGCTGGTACAGGCTGGGAATCGGACTCACGCCCTACCTCGCCTTCATCCACATGCTACTCGCTGCCTTTGGCTCTAAGGTGAGTGCTTTTAACGCGTATGGTGTGTGTGTGGGCGCTGGTGGTGCTGTTCTCACGCCCTACCTTGCCTTCATCCATCCGTGTTTGAAGAAGGGTTTTGAGACGTCTCAAAACCCTTCTTCAAACATGCTGCTCTCTGCCTGTGGGAGCAAGGTGAGGGGGTCTGCGTGTGTGTATGGGCACAAGCACTGCAACAGGCACTGGCACAGGCTGACCATCGAGTGATTTTTTAGAATTCTCAATAAAAACACCATCAGCCTCACGCACTGCCCTGCCTGACCTTCATTCTGGTCTGCCTCAATTCTCACTACCTCCTGCGCCCTCTCCTCTCCTCCTTCCCCTCGATCCCCACCCACCTATCGTGGTTGATCCAGCTCCTCCACCTCGCCTGCCAGCTCACCACCTCGTTCTCCTTACCTTACCTCTCCTCCCCCCTCTTGCCTCCCCTCCCCTCGTCTCCTTCCCCAGCCCTTCACCGTGTTCCAGCACCCCCACCTCGCCTGCCAACTCACCCGCACAGTATCCCCCCTTCTCTCTTTCTCCTAGTGGTCGAGCCGCCCCTCCTCGCCTGCCAACTCATGTCTGCATCGCCCCTCGCCGCTTGCTGCTTCCCCTCCACCGCTCACCTGTCCCCTCCCCGCCTCCCAGCCCTTCCTAGTGGTCGAGCCGCCCCACCTCGCCTGCCAACTCATGTCTGCATCGCCCCTCGTTGTTCTCATCTCTCCGCGATAACCCTTCCTCCCCTTCCCCGCCCCACCCCTCCCTGCCCCTTTCCTGCCCAGCCATTCATCGTGGTCGAGCTGCCCCACCTCGCCTGCCAGCTCACGTCTGCGTCGCCCACCATCGAGGAAGTGGTGAGTGCTCTATATCTATCTTCCTGCCCTCTTGTGTCCCTCTTTCCGAGGAGCCGAAGGGGACCGAGAGGATGATGTCTCTGGTGGACGGGTATTTGACTGAAGATGAAGTCAAAGTTATTCGCAGGGAACAGAGAAGTTATGCTTTCCTGATGGGAAGTTATGCATTACAAGTTATCCGCAGGGACGAGGTTGTTCCCACCAACAAAGTTGTTCCCACCAACAAAGTTGTTCCCACCAAGGAAGTTCTTCGCCCAAGGGAAGCATTCCCACTCTGTTCCTGCGGATGACATTGACCTCGTCTTAGGTCAAATGAAATATGTGTATTTTTGAGACGTCTCAAAAATACATTTATTTCTCGGTTCCAGCATTACGAGGTTGCGAGTGCCCTTGCTGCCCTGGTTAATCCCTCTTGCCCCTACCCTCCTTACCTCGCGTTTGCGTCTACTCGCCCCCGCCTTGCCTGTCAATTCACCTCTGCATCACTCACCAGTGAGGAAGTGGTGAGTGCTGTGCGATTCTGTTCACCCTACCCCTACCCTCGTCGCCTGCCCGCTCCCCACCTCGCCTGCCCACTCCTTGGTTGCCTCTCCTGCAGTACGTTCATTGCCCTTCCTCCTCCATTCAAGTTGACTTTTGAATCGACTCAAAAGTCGTCTGCCCACTCCTTTGTTGCCTCTCCTACAGCACATTCATTGCCCTTCCTCCTCCATTCAAGTCCCTTCCCCACTATCCCCTCGCCCCCTCTTCTTCCCCTCTCCCTTTCAGTCTGCTGCCTTGGTCGAGACGCTGTGCAAGCACGGCTACAAGCAGGTGGCGTATGCTGGTCACTCGTACAGCACCTCATGTAACCCCCTTACGCCTTCCTCCCTTTGTGTGTCCTGTGGCCTCCCCATCCCCACAGTCTGCTGCATTGGTCGAGACGCTGTGCAAGCACGGGTACAAGCGCGTGGCGTATGTCGGTCACTCGTACAGCACCTTCATTGCTGCCACTGTGTGTAACAGTGCCTGTAACGAGTTGTGCTTGTAGCGAGTGTGAATCAAACGAGAAGGCTTTGTTCGGCTCATGCGGATCGTAAGCCGTCACTCTCCTACAGAGCCTTCATTCATTGCTGCCACTGTGCGCAACAGTGCTTGTAACGAGCAGTTGTAACGAGCCTTCATTCATTACAGGGATTGTAACTAACGATTAGTGCTATGTAGCGAGTGTAATCGGAATGCTGTGATCACGATGTGGTGTGCTCGTAGCGAGTGTGACTGAAACCAGACCTCATTGGCATGCTGTGAGCACGATTGCTCCCTTCCCCCATCGCTGTTGTTCCTCCCTTCCCGTAATCCTTCCCCTTCCCTCAGCTCCTGCGCCGCCATCGCTCTATGATAGCAGCAATGAGCATCATCGACCCAGTCTGCCTGCTGCTGCTTTCACCCCACTTACTCCTTCATATGTTCCCATCTTTGCTCCCTCCGCCCCTTTCCTCTCCCCACTCTCAGCTCCTGCGCCGCCATCGCTCTATGATAGCAGCAATGAGCATCATCGACCCTGTCTGCCTGCTGCTCTGCCGGCTTGCCTGATGTTGTCCCACCCATTCTCTCCGCCCCTCCCACCCCTCCTCATCTGCAGCTCCTGCGCCGCCATCGGTCTATGATAGCAGCAATGAGCATCATCGACCCTGTCTGCCTGCTGCTCTGCCTGCTGCTCTGCCTGCTGCTCTGCCTGCTGCTCTGCCTGCTGCTCTGCCTGCTGCTCTGCCTGCTGCTCTGCCTGCTGCTCTGCCTGCTGCTCTGCCTGCTGCTCTGCCTGCTGCTCTGCCGTCTGCCTGTCATCCCTCCTTTATGCCCTTCTCCCTCTTACCTGGTTCCCTGTTCCCAACCCTTGTCTCCCAACAGCTCCTGCGCCGCCATCGGTCAATGATAGCAGCAATGAGCATCATCGACCCTGTCTGCCTGCTGCTCTGCCTGCCGAAAGTGCTGCACACGTTTGTCTACAGGTGAGTCGCTCTATAACGAGGACTAACTAGTGCTGCTGCGCTCACATCACACTTGTGTGCTGGCGAGCCTCGGTGTAACGAAGTAAGAATAGTGCTGCTGCACACGCGTTGTCTGCAGGTAAATCATTTAAGCACAGAGAGAGCAAGAACGAGCACGGAGTGAGCAAAAGCACACACTGTCAGGAACTTTCTTGACTCCTCTAAACGGATGCATGTGAATCTTTCTTTGTTCTCCTCCTTCTCCTGCCTTGTTCCTCTCCCTCCCACTCTTCCAGCCTCCCAAGCGAAGACCACCTGGCAGCGTGGATCGGCGAGGTGACTTTTAAGTCGACTCAGAAGTAGCTTCCCAAGCGGAGTCCACCTGGCAGCGTGGATCGGCAAGGCGGTGCGCTGGGTGCTGCGGCCGCGTTACCCACTCAGCCCGATTAGCTTCTCATCTCCTATTCTCCCTCCCACTCTCCCTTGCTAACCTCTCAGCCTCCCCGGCGGAGACCACTTGGCTGCATGGATAGGCGAGGCGGTGCGCTGGGTGCTGTGCTCGCGGGAGCTGCAGGTAGCTCGAAGCATCTGCCGCGGCTTCTCATGGTGAGGAGTTGGTTTGGGTGCTGATTCTCTGGTTTGCTAGAAGCACGCGAGTTGAGCTGTTCAATGCGCGGAGGCGTTGCTCTGGTAAGAGTGGTAGGCGCTGCCTGCCTGCGTGCTTTGCTTTCGGGAGCTGCAGGCAGCACGCTGTGTGTGGTGCATTTGTGTGAATGTGTGGGTGTGCTTCTCCCTGTCTTCACCCCACTGCAGGCAGGAGTACCTGGTGTGGGGCGATGAGCTGCCGCCTGCCTCTCTGGTGATGCTGGCAGGGGACGACCAGCTGGTGCCATCGCCACAGGTGCAGAGGTGAGTGATTGTGTGATGGCTCTTGTGTGCCTTTGCTGATCTAGTGATCACTCCCTGGGTTTTTTGTTCCTATATCCTGCGATTTTCCTATCTGCTTCCTGCTTTCCGTGCTCCCCACCTGTTCTGCCGCAGCCACTGTGCTCGCCACATTATGTATGTGATTTACAACGACGGGTTCCAGCACTGATTTTCCGCACTTTTCGCTCATTCCACCTTCCGCCTCCCGCCTCCTCCTCCCTCCTCTCTGCTTCCTGTTTTCCCTGCTCCCCACCTGTTCTGCGCCCTGCTCCCTGCAGCCACCTGGCACGCCACAATGTGAATGTGATTTACAACGATGGGTTCCAGCATGCAGAGTTCCTCACAAGGCCCGATGTTCAGCACAAATTCGTTATGGCGTTTGCAGCTACATGCGCCAAGGTCAGCCACAAGCACGCGAACTAAATTCGTGGTCATTGTGCAACCTTGGTGTTCCAAGAGTTGAATACACTGCTTTATTCTATGTTCATATGTGAGATCTATGATTTGTGGATTGTGAGTATGTCTAGCAAGCTTACGGAATTAGCGTGCAATAAGCATGATTTGTGGCTTGTGATGTTTGTTTTGCCTTGCTTTTATTTGCAGAAACTAACATATTCTTGCGTGTAAGAATTTCTATGGCTTCTTTGGTGTAGTACTGCAATACCACATTATTCATGTCACTTTGCTGAACCTTCATAGCACTGTAAGCCTGCCAACCATGGTGACGTGGCAGGCATTATGTAGCTCAAACTGGGCCGAGCTGAACCCATGTGGTAGGGACGGCGATTCTCATTGGCCAGGTTATCCACATGCTCAGATAAGAAAGCAAAAGCATTCACGCCACTCGAAACTTCCAGGGCGGCGGTCACCTCACGGAATCACCGAAAGGGAACACCTGTCACCTTACAGCGACTCAGTGCACCCTACATCACCGATCCGTTTGTGGTGTATACCGAAAAGCACGGATGAATTCAGCTGCCTATTGGTCCGTGTGATCATCTTTCTTCGGGGTGCTTGGTTATGGTTTCTGGCTGGTAAAGTTTTAATCTCCAGCCGAGTAGTTTAGGACTAAGGCCCGGCATCAGGTCCGACTGCCTACAAGTTAAAGATACGACACGAATTCGCTCGTTCGCGTTAGCCATTTATTCACGTTCCGCCAAACATGGCGACCTCACGGAGACTGAATTCTCATATGCAATTGAAACCGTCGATCTATTCTGTGCTGAATCCGACATTCGCGTTCGGAATCTTTGCAGCATGGCTGCTCGTGTCCACTCAAGCGGCTTCGCGAAACCCCTTCCTAACGCTGTCGGCCGACTCCCACGCCGAATTCGGCAATCTACGGTCGGTAGACGCCAAGCCGCCGGCCGTGCACGATCAGCCGTTGATCGGCATCCTGTCGCAGCCAGGAGACGGCGATGGGGGACGAGCGCCGCGAGTTAACTCCAAGGAAGGTGCGTATGCGGTTCGGAGAGTCAGAATCCGTGAATTTTACAAGGACAGCAGCTGAACCAGCGAGAGGCCCTTGAGTAGGAACACTTGTGTCGTAGCATCGCTTTTTTCGTCCGTCGTTGCTTCGTGTGTGAAGTGGGTGAAGAACTCCCACTCAATGCTGTTGCTTGTTGAAATCACTTTTGAGAATTCTCATAAGTGATTTCAATGAAGTGGGTGAAGAGCTCCCACTCAATGCTGTTGCTTGTTGTCTGTCGCTTTCCTCCCTTTCCCTCCCTTGCTCCCATGCAGACCTTAACGTGTCGTACATCGCTGCTTCGTACGTCAAGTGGGTGGAGAGCGCGGGAGCAAGGCCAGTTCCCATCCTCTATGACGACCCTGATTGGCTGATGGAGAAGGTGTGTGCGCTTGCTCTTCATAAGGCGTGTGTGCTTGCTCTTCATAAGGCGTGTGTGCTTGCTCTTCGTAAGTATTCGGGTTCTCAAAAACCACATGCTGGAGAAATATGTCTGCAGTACCAAGAGATGCTGAAAAAGCTGTGCTTGCTTCTTTTAGACTTTCAGTGTACGGGCTACCGTACACTGCGGTTTCCCTTGTCTTTTGACCTTGTTCTGTCTTCCACTGTCCTTCATTCTCCGTTTCCCTTCCTTTCCCATCCTCTCCTCCCTCCTCCCAGAAATTCAGAGCCATCAACGGGCTGATACTCCCGGGCGGGGGGACGGATCTGGTTCCTGGGCCCTTTTTCTCTGCTGTGGAAAAGCTGCTCAAGGTAAATCACCCTTGTTCATAGGATCGCCAGCTAAAGCATCAGTGATACTCCCAGGGAGGGGCACGGATCTGGTTCCTGGGCCCTTTTTCTCCGCTGTGGAAAAGCTGCTCAAGGTGAAGCATTCTTGCTCATAGGATTGCTCATAGGGGACTTGCTCACAAGGGACAGGGGACTACATGAATACTTCATCTCCCTCTCCCTGCGTTGATGCCCTTCAGATGGCCCTGGCAGCCAGCGATGTGACTTTTGAGTCGACTCAAAAGTCAGCTCAAAAGTCATTTTGAGTCGACTCAAAAGTCAGCTCTCTCCCTGCGTTGATGTCCTTCAGATGGCCCTGGCAGCCAGCGATGCAGGGGCCTTCTTCCCCGTGCAGGGCAGGGCACGTGCATGGGCATGGAGGCAGAGGGGTATGAGGGTCAGTGTGAGACGACTTAAGACACCTTTTCCCCGCTTTCCTTCTCCCCCTGCCTGTTTGTGTCCCATCCCATCCTCCATGCTCAGGTGGCCCTAGCAGCCAGCCAGCGATGCAGGGGGCTTCTCCATTCTTCACCGTGCAGGGCATGGGCACGTGCATGCATGGGCACGTGCATGCATGGGCACGTGCATGGGCATGGGTGCGTTGAGAGCAGTGTGAGATGACTCAGGAACTTCTTTCCTTCCCTCGTGCCCCGACCCTCCTGCCTTCCGTGCCCTCTTCTCTCCTTTCAGATGGCCCTGGCAGCCAACGATGCAGGAGACTACTTCCCCGTGCAGGGCACGTGCATGGGCATGGAAACACTCACAATATTCTTCAGCCAGGTGAGTGATGTGAACCATAGGTGTTCTTCGTGCAATCACACGGAAGTGATCCCTGTATCTCTTTACCTGGGAACCAGTCTCATTCTCTGCACCGTTCTCCCTCTGCAAACCCTCTCACATCCTTCCCGCCGATGCATCCTGATATTTCCCTATTCTGGGTATCAAGCTGTTCAATGCGCGGAGGATTGCCCGCCCTTGAAGCACTCAGATTCACGTCACTAGTGAATAGTCCAAGTGACGAGCCAATGCGTTTTTTTAGTCGACTCAAAAATAGATTGGACTCAAAAACAGATTCACGTCACTAGTGAGAAGTCCAAGTGATGAGCCAATGCCTGCACCCTCCCACTCTCCCTCGCCCTCGCCCTCCCAATCCCTCTCTCCCCTGCTCCTCCCCACTCGCCCACGCATCAGGATTTCGATATCCTGGAGACCAAGGCGTCCAATGCAGAAGACAGCCCAGAGGCGCTCAGGTTCACCACTCAAAGGCTTCAACCGACTCCTCTGCACCCCTCCTCTGCACCCCTCCTCTGCACCCCTCCTCTGCAACCCTCCTCTGTCTGAGCCCCCCTCTCTCAGGATTTTGATATTCTCGAGACCAAGGCGTTCAATGCAGAGGACAGCCCTGAAGCGCTAAAATTCACCAGTGAAGAGGCCAAGAGGCGAGCCTACTTCAGCTGGTGGGTTGGCTTTTTTCAGCTGATGCGTTAGCTTTGCTTTTTTAGTGCCTTGCGAGAAGAGGACAGTTTTTTTTAGTCGACTCAAAAAAAATTAGTCGATTTTTGAGTCGACTCAAAAATAGCCCCAGAGGCGCTCAGATTTACCAGTTACAAGACGAAGAGGCGAGCCTACTTCAGCTGGTGGGTTGGCTTTATATGGAAGAATAAGACATGTTTTCCTGGTGCAACCAGAGCAGAGGACATTAAGATTCCTAGGAGTTCGAAGGTTTATTGAGATTTCTCTGAATTTCTAGGAGCAATTTTTACAAGTCTTGATCCCTTTGCTTAAGTGAATCCTTCAGGTTTGGAGCTACTCCGCGATGAATCTTGATCATAAGACATGTTTTCCTGGTGCAACAGGAGCAGAGGACATTTGTTGACGACAGTTGTTGACGACGGTTGTTGACGACGGTTGTTGACTCAACCTGCAACACAATTGAGTTTCAAAGCGCGTCATCTCCACTGTTGGTGTGTTGGAGGAGTTGCCTTTGAGAATGACAAGCCTTCACGAGCATACCAGAATCTCTCAAACTCTCTTCAGCATAACTTTTAGTGTTCTTTTCATTCCACAGGATTACTTCCGACCAGCTGGACCACATTCAGGGAGAGAACCACTTTTTTGGGCGCCTTTGAAGATTGAGTCTTAAGGCTTGGCATCACCACTTTCGTTGTGCTTGTGAGTCAACAGGATGACTCCCGACCTGCTGGATCGCATTCAGAAAGAGAAGATCACCATGGAGAATCACGAGGTGAGCTTATGACGTGTACAAAGCCACACCACATGGTGCGCGGTTCAATGTGCATGCATTGTATTGTGTTGTGTATCACATAAAGTAGCTATGTATGAGATGGGTCCCATCTCATCTCTCATGCACCAAGGTCCCATCCCATCTCTCATGCAATGTATTGTGCTGTATATCACATAAAGCAGATATACAGCACATGACCCATCCCCTTGCTTTGCCTCTTCTCATGACCCACCTCCCTATGCTTGCCCCACCCCCCACCTCCCCCCATCCCAGTCTCCAGCCAATCCTTGCAGCAAGGTCCCATCTCATCTCTCATGCAGCAAGGTCCCATCTCATCTCTCATGCAGCAAGGTCGCATCTCATCTCTCATGCAGCAAGGTCGCATCTCATCTCTCATCCAGCAAGGTCCCATCTCATCAAGGTCCCATCTCATCTCTCATGCAGCAAGGTCGCATCTCATCTCTCATGCAGCAAGGTCGCATCTCATCTCTCATGCAGCAAGGTCCCATCTCATCTCTCATGCAGCAAGGTCCCATCTCATCTCTCATGCAGCAAGGTCCCATCTCATCTCTCATGCAGCAAGGTCCCATCTCTCATTTCTGGCATCTCTCTGTCGCTCCCCTCGTTAATAACTGCCACTTCACCGATTCAATCACATCTGTTCCGCTGTATAACGCACAGGATGGCACCACAGTGGGTCGCTTCCTCTCCAACAAGCGTCTCAAGGAGTTCTTCCACATTCTAACAACCTCGGTCGATAGAAACGGCACTGTGAGTAGCCTCCTCCTCCTCCTCCTCCTCCTCCTCCTCCTCCTTCCTTCCCCCCTCTCCCTTCCTCTAGCCACCATTTTTCCTGGCCTGCCAGTTTCTGTCAAACTCCAAATTACCTTTCCATTCGCAGTCTATTTGCTTATTTCTCTATTGTGTGCTACAGGAGTACGTGACAACCATAGAGCCGCGTGACTATCCTATCCATGGCACGCAGTGGCGTCGATCTAAGTCCTTCGGACTCTTCCCTCTCCCCCTGTGCTTCTCCCCCTTCCGTCTTCCCTTTCGATTCCCCTTCTTCCTTCTTTTCCCTGTGTGCTACAGGAATACGTGACAACGATAGAGGCGCGTGACTATCCTATCTATGGCACGCAGTGGCATCCAGAGGTAAGGCAATAAACCGTGCCCCCAAACAAGGAGAGTGATAACGAAAGTTGGAGAAATGTTGAGGCGCGTGACTATCCTATCTATGACACGCAGTGGCATCCCGAGGTAAGGCAATGAACCTAGCAAAGAGGGACACAGCATGCCAAGCCGCCACTCCCCTCCCCCTCCTCCCTCCTCAAACAAGGAGGGTGTTAGCAAAAGATAGAAGTTTGTTGAGGCACGCGAGGTGACTTTTGAGTCGACTCAAAAGTCACCTCGTGGAAGATGGTAGTTCCCTGCATGCCACTGCATGCCACTGCATGCCACTGCATGCCACTGCATGCCACTGCATGCCACTGCGTGCCACTGCATGCCACTGCATGTCGTGGACGGTGGAACTACACTGTGTGTGGCATGCACTGGCATCCCGAGGTAAGGCAACAAATGCTGCCCGCAACCCCACCTTGCCTTCATCAGAAAACAGGATTTGAGTGGGGGCTGTCGCATGTTCCCCACTCAGCCACTGTTCACCCTCACTGGCTCCTTCACTCATCCCCTTTCCTCCCCCCACTCCACCCCACCAACCCGCTCCCTCTGTTTCTGCCTTCAACAGAAATCGGCATTTTGAGTGGGGCGTGCCACTCATTTCCCACGGTTAAAATTCCGCCTTTCTGGATCCTTCCCTCTTCCCATTCTCCCCTGCCCTCTACCCCCTTTCTTCCACCCCATTCCCTTCAACAGAAAACAGCATTTGAGTGGGGGCTTCCGCACATTCCCCATTCAACACATGCAGTGGCTGCTTGCCAAGCCACCGCTGATTTCCCCCCTTCCCCCTCTTCTTCACCCCCCTTGCTTGAAACAGAAAACAGCATTTGAGTGGGGGCTTCCGCACATTCCCCATTCAGCACATGCAGTGGCGGTCTGCCAAGCCACTGCTAACTTCTTTGTTAAGTAAGTCTCTTATATTGGGTAACCACTTCTGCTGCTGAGTCCCACCACTACCGCTGAGTCACCACTCTGGTTTGGTATGTTTTTTAGTCCCGTTCCTGGTTGATATATATGTAATCACATGCATGTATGTTTCTCCAGGTGCCACATCATCAGCGTGACTAAAAGCAAGCGACCATGTTGTGTACATGTCTGTTAAATTCCACTTCATGCCATGCTATGCCATGCCATGCCATGCCATGCATGTGACTACAGTGAGGCTCGGCGCTCCACACATCGGCCCGAGTCTGATGAGGAGATGGATGAGATGCTCATTTACAACCGTGCTCCTATGCTATGCCATATCATGTGATGCATGTGACTACAGTGAAGCCCGTCGCTCCACACATCGGCCCGAGTCTGATGAGGAGATGGATGAGATGCTCATTTACAACCGTGCTCCTATGCTATGCCATATCATGTGATGCATGTGACTACAGTGAAGCCCGTCGCTCCACACATCGGCCCGAGTCTGATGAGGAGATGGATGAGATGCTCATTTACAACCGTGCTCCTATGCTATGCCATATCATGTGATGCATGTGACTACAGTGAAGCCCGTCGCTCCACACATCGGCCCGAGTCTGATGAGGAGATGGATGAGATGCTCATTTACAACCGTGCTCCTATGCTATGCCATATCATGTGATGCATGTGACTACAGTGAAGCCCGTCGCTCCACACATCGGCCCGAGTCTGATGAGGAAATGGATGAGATGCTCATTTACAACTATGCTCCAATATTCTCTGGCAAGAATGGGTGAGCATGGGTGGGGATGGGTGGGAGGCGGTTGAGGGGTGCCTAGTGTAGAGGCGTAGGGACACCGTGTGGGTCCGATGAGGAGATGGATGAGATGCTCACTACAACCATGCTCCTATTTTCTCCGGCAAGAATGGGTGAGCATGGGTGGAAAACGGTTGGGGGATGTTTGAGGAGGCACTTGGTGTAGAGGGGTAGAGGCAGCAAGCGATACATGAGCGATGTGGATGAGATGCTTATATACAACCACGCTCCGATTGTCTCCACCAAGAATGGGTGAGCATGGGTGGAAAGCGGTAGAGGGGTACTTGGGGGGCACTTGGGGGGCTTGGGGTCACTCGAGGGGAGGCTGGGGCCACTTGAGGGGGGATTGGGGGGCAACTGAGGGGGGAATGGGGGGGGCGAAGGGGGAGTGGGGGCACTTGAGTGGAGATTGGGGGGCACTTGAGGGGAAGCTAGTGGCACTTGAGGGAAGAGTGGGGGCACGATTGGTGTGGAGGTTTAGGGGCGTTGATGGTGTGAGAGGTGGACGAGATATGCTTTGTGCGGGTTTAGAGTCGACTCAGAAGTCACCTTGTCTAGGGGCATTGATGGAGTTAAAGGTGGACGATATATGCTTTTCACAACTATGCCCATATTCTTCAACGAGAATGGGTCAACGTGGGTGAGAATGGGTGACTACTGGTGAGAGCGGTTGAACAGCTTTGACTAAGACAGTGTCTGCATAAAGTTCATTGTCCGGTCCTTCATGTAGACTGTACAGTGTCCAATGATATTGTTTCGGTGTACATGAGGGCAGATAGACAGTATCGTTGTATGAATAATTTCCTCGTATCCTATTTGTTCATATCGCACCAGTGGCTCGCGTGGTGCCCCTCAGCGGTTTGTTAGTTTATTCCAATGTCTCTTGGATTGTTCCTCATGCCCCCCTCCCAACCCTCATCACCCCATCATTCACACATCGCAGAAGAGGGTTCTTTGAGCAGTCTTACCGTATGTCTTCAGCAAGAACCAAGAAGTCGGTGCTCTCCATAAAGTGAAGTAGTATAGCACAGTATTGTGTTCAGGTGACAAGAAAGTTACTGTTTTACATCTATGTTACAGTATAAAAGTGCAATGTGCCCCTAAGGGTGTGGTATGAACTTTCACTGAAGTCAAATTGATTAAAAACTGCAGTTTATGTTTTAAAGATGCACTTCAACTTGATGAATATTGTGACAGCAAAAATGGGGCCATTTCCACAGTTACGAAAGCCCTTCTGACTGGTCGGTTGGGCGCCCCACCTCATCGCCCGAATCGCAGACGAGCCATTTGAGGTGTGCGACGGCGTATCGTTGGTTCGATCACGTAAGTCGTTTCGTGAGCCCCATTGTCTGTCGCCAGCGACATCAGTCGCAGGACGTGGCTTCGCTTCGGCACCAGGCTTGGCGCCTCCAAAGCTGACCGCCATAACGAACGTCTCGCCCTTTGGGGATGCCTTTCCAGGCGTGGAAGTACCATGATGGCCTAGTATACGAGCCGTAGATTGAGAGCACGTGTTCGGCTACTTCAGCGAAGGGGTGCCGCGTTTCGAAGCGCCTCGTTGTCCTAGCACCCACAAAATTCCAAGCACGTTTTTGGACCTGCATTGACTCAAGGAAATTCGACGTGCACACATTGCGCTTCGAGACGAGGGCCATTCCTCTCCCACACATTGCGCCTCGAGGCGAGTGCCTTTCTCTCTTGCTCTCATCTCTCCTCGACCCCCACAGTCCTTGCATGTCATCACAAGCAGCATTCACTGCTCCTCCCCTCTCCCCTCTCGTGGTCCAGCCTGGTCATGATTCTAGTTTTCATCACCCCTAGCCTGTACCCTCCCGTCTTTCCTCAATCTCTCGCAATCCCCTCCGCTAAGGTGGACTTTGCGTGACTGTAAGGTGTTGCACCGACTTGACTAGTTTCTGGCCTCGTTTTCGATAGAGTGGATTCCGTGAGTTTTTCTTTTTTTCATCCCGCGCTGTCTCGTGAAGCGCAGATTAGCCAACTCATAAGCCCGACGGCTGACCTCAGGCCCATCGTCCACACACAGCATCCCTGCTCGTAAACCAAGCAAGAGTTAAAAAGGCAGAGCGATAAGGACAGAGTCAGCAAAGATCAAGAGTATAGCAGGCACATAGTTCAGCGGTCTAGAGTCGCAAAGGAGAGTCCACCGCATATCTTTCTTTCAGCAACACAGCAGGCCAGCTTCCGGCACTGTCCGCGGAAATTCTAGATTATACTCTTCTGGAATTTGACTATATTTTCCGCCTGCTTTGACGCGCCTCACAAACCTGTCCGCGGAAGCTCTAGCTATCTGGCTTCTTCTGAATTCTGTGGCCACTACCGCCATCTACTGATTCCCAAACCGTTACTTCTCGCCTTTTCGCTATGAGGCTGCAGCTCCAGCCGCTGCTGCTGCTGCTCCTCGCTCTCACCCTCTCGCACCATCACTTACGCGCCGAATGCCATTCATCCACCGCCGATGACGGCGTAGGTGTCTCTGCTACAAGACTGCCAACGCAGCATGGAGCGGGACAACATGGGGAGAGCGCGACAGGCGGCGCCCTGCGCGGTCGTGTGCTGCTTGACACGGAGATGCCGTCGCTTGCGGCGGCGGTGGCGGCTGCGGCAGAAGGGAAGAATGCTTCCGCGCTCGATCTAGTTTTGCGCCGTCAGCTCAAGTGAGTTACCGTTGTGTGGTTCGGTGTTCGAGACTAGAAATAACATATATCTAGTAGTGTTCGGTGTTTTATCTCATCGTTTCCCCGCCATGTTTCCCCCCGTCCGTTCCCACCTTTCCCTCCCCATCCGTCCTCCCACCCACCCAGGGCTCGCAAAGAGGATCCAGTTTTAAGCATGCTCGCTAACGCGTGGCACAACATGTTGATCGCGCAGTACTGGGCGAAAAAAACGTCGTGCAGCGCGAAGCTGACCGCCGCGTGTAAGGCGCTTCAAAACGCAGAGTCGTACCTCAAGGCCGGGAGGAGCGCCGAGGCTACCGCGCAAATGACGAATGCCAAAGCCACGGCCAGTGTATGCTGTTCTTTTGTTCCAACTCCCCCTCTCCTCGCTTCCTTCGTAGCGTCGTTCTTTCTCAACCACTCTCGGACTTGCGAACTTCGCGAGCGGCGTACCCACCCTTTTTCCGTCGCCGGCGCGTTGTAACATTTATCCCATTCCTGCCACGACTTTTCCTGCTCGCACTTCAGTCTCCCGCCTCCCCCTCCCTCTCCCCCCTCCCCACCGGTAGTTTTGGTAAACGTGTCACCCCATTTTCGAAGCGGCCTAAAAAATCCAACGTCCGTTGTTGCCTTGCGCGTCTCTCCATCCCGCCTTTCAGGGTTGCGTGAACAGCGTTCCTGCTCAGTCGGCGAAGTATATTCGACTCGCGAAGGACCAGATCGGGCAGACGCAAATTCTCATGACGAAAAAGAACCCTCAAATCAAGAGGGTCAAGAAGCGCAACCCGCAAGTCAAGCGTAACACCGGACCTGGTTGGCTCGGACACAACGATCTTCCGGGAGGCGTCATGCAGTGGTTACCATACGGTAACCCGATTGACGACTGCTGGATGGGTGGTAACTGGAACAGTAACATCAAGAAGCTCGCAAATTGCGTGGAGGGGTACGCGTCGGGGACAACTGGCGGAAAGGCAGGGCAAATCTACCATGTGACTAGAGCGGATGATAACCGCATGAACCCGAGTCCCGGCACCCTTCGATATGGTATCACCAGGGTAAGGAGATTACTTCTTTCCCTGTCCAAGTACTCGAAATCCTGATAATCATTGCTTTTCGTGCTCGTGTTTTGTGGTTCTCCCTCGTTCACTGATGGCGAGGCAGGCACCGCAAGCGCCGTTATTGACAAGCTACTATTGTCTTTGTATCTTTCGGCTTCAATCCCCCACGTGCAAATTATTTGGCTCTAACTGATCCCTAAGATGTCGATTTGTTTCGCTGTGTACGCAGGCTGAGCCGCTGTGGATCGTTTTCGATGACGATTTCACGTTCACCGGCCTGAGTGCGGAAATGATTATCTACAAGGATAAGACAATCGACGCAAGGGGGAAGAAAATCGTGGTGGGCAACGGTCCCTGCTTTGCAGTTGAAGAATCATCGAATGTGATTATTCACGGAATTTCTTTCGTGAACTGCAAGAACCGGCAGTAAGTTATAGTACAATTGCACTAAGAGGGCATACTTCATTGTACAGTTGTACATTCGCTTTGATCACATTCGCTTACACCATTGCTCAAATTTGCATGTGTCTTCAGGGGCAACCTTAAAATTGTAACTGGACCTGGCAATACCGTAGATGGCCGTGACTACTTGAACGGATATGGAGTGTACATCTACAAGTCGCACCACGTGTGGATTGACCACTGCTCTTTCAATTACGCTGATGACACCCATATCGACATTATCGAGGGCAGTACCGCCGTCACTGTATCGAATTCCTACTTCACCAACCAGGATAAGGTACGGGAATAACGCTAGTGGTTCGGTGTAGAATAAGTGAGTTTAGCTGGCAGGGTCCGTGGGGTTGGCGGATCGGAGAAAGGGGTAGCGCGAGGAAAGGGAAGGGGGGGAGGGTGGAGGCATGCTGTAAACCACTTCCTACACGCTCCATGAAACTCGAGCAGCTGTGCTGTTTTTCCAATCAACCACAACACCTGTCCTCCCCCTGATCACATTCTCTTGCCTCACCTTTCCCCACTCTCCTCCCTCCGTCTCCCTCACTTGATCTTCCTCGTGGCTTTTTAGGTGATTTTGATGGGCCACAATGATGCCAACTCCATGGACAGGAATATGCGCGTCACCGTCATGCTGAACAAGTTCGGCCCGAACCTGGACGAGCGCATGCCACGTGGCAGGTTTGGCACGTTCCACGTGGTGAACAACTACTATCCCAACGGCTGGGGAATCTACGCCATTGGTGGGAGCGCTGACCCAACGTTTCTGAGTGAAGGAAATTATTTCGTAGCCACTGGCGGCAAAACTGAGGTAAGTTTTTTCCTGTGGGACTGCAGATGTGGTTGTGCCATTCTGTTGGACTCGGGACACTCTTTTGCTCTCTTAGCTCTCTTGCTCCCCTCATCCTCTCCCTCCATTTCCTCAATCTTTCCCTTCCTCATGCTCTCCTGGTCTCTGTCACTTAAACCCTCCCTCTTGTTTCCGTGCCCTGTAAACCCGGAACTACAGGTGACGAAGCACGACATTGCAGCAAGTAAGAGCACGTGGAGTGGGTGGGACTGGCAGTCAGTGGGCGATTACTTCGCGGGTGGGGCATTCTTCACAGAATCTGGAAGGTCTGGCTACAGGCCACCGTATTCATATCGGGCCATCAAGGCTATAGAGGTGCCTCGTGCAACAAACCGTGCAGGGCCAATTGGGTTCTGAGTACCCACCTAGTAGTTGGCGACCAAGCTTCTTCTTGACTGACTCAAGTAGCGTATTTAAAACCGGAGGGCCAAGAAGGCCCAAATTGCCTCAAAACCTTGGTTGAGTTTGGCACTCGCACCCAAATCCTTAGCCAATTGTCTCCAACCAAGCTTCATAAGGTTGAAGTTCTTGGCCCGCGGGTTTTAAGGAAGGGCGCCTTGGCTTCCCTGCTTTCTATATTTTAAGTAATTTAACTTTCATGTAAATGTTTATCGCCCTTTACTGTGCAATGCTGCTGACCAACATCCATGGAGAATTGGTTGCAGTGGGCGGGAGAGCGGTGGACACCAGAGTGCACAGCTCTGTCCAGATGGGAGTCATGGTGCTGCGTAAGGATCTTACGGTACTGTATTTTGCTGTAAAAGGTCCTGAAATTCGTGGGAAAATATGTCACAGGTAACCAACATGTGACCCGATAACGTCAATGGTAAAAAAAAAAAGCGGACGGTAACTGTATCGAGTGTCCTGACGGGCTTGGTAAGCGGGGTCACGGAATCAGTCGCCATCAACAGCTAGGGTTTCACGCGAATGGTAACACATGAAACCCCCGCCAGAAATTCCTGAAACCAGGCCGATTTCCC